ATCTCAAGAAAAATTTTTTGCGGTATGGGAAAAATGGATAAATTTTATACAACATAATTTGGATATGGAAAAATATTATTTAGCCTTTTTATAATTTGTAATGATTGTTTTTTCTTTCTTTCTTTCTTCTTTTTCTTTTTTATATATATACATTTTTAATGTATTATTATTCATATATTTTTTTTTTTATATATATATATGCTTTATTTTTCGTCTACTTTCTTCTTTCTTCTTTCTCTCTCTCTCTTCTCTTTTTATTTTTTATTTTTTTTCTTTTTTAGTATATATTATTCATTTTAAAGTTTATGTTATGTATATTATTTCTATATATATTATTACTGTGATTTTTATTATTATTATTAATTATTTTATAAATTGCAAATGTTATTTTTAAAATATTTGTTAAATAATCCTATATTCAGTTCTGGGAAGTCGGGGGGGGGGTGGGGTGGTTGGGGAGGGGGGGGTGGATTTTTATTTGTAAAACTTTTGAAAAATTTCAATAAAAAAAAAAAAAAAAAAAAATTGAGGCAATATGCTCAGAGGTTAATTGAATTTGAAATATTTGTAAGACAAGATAGAACATTTGCAAGGACTTATAAATAAGTTGCTTCTGAAATATGATTCAGAGACTAAATGTGTTAAAAATGGCATGATCAAATAGATGCTGAACCTAAACAGGATATTATTCAACAATGGAAGACAGATATTAAATTCACTGTGAATGATACACTAAGAAAAAAATGATCCAAATTGTTCTGATGCTGCTAGATTATCCCAGTGATAATTATTAAAATGGATAATACATATTAAGAAAATTGTTCAAAATGTACAAAGTAAGTTGGAATATTTTCGTATATCTGGAGACTATGTCATTTATTTTGCAAGATGAATGTTGCAGGATGAAGTAAATCCTAAATGTTAACTTTCTTATCTACAAGGTATTTTTCTGTTTAGCATCATCAAACCTCATATACTTACAAAATGCACTGATCAGGCCTTGTATAAGTTACTTTTTACAGAAAATCACATATGGTCATATAATCACCTCAGAAATACATGTTTAAGTTAGCCAACAGACACCTTACAAGATATATTTTCAAGTCAGAAAGATTGTCTGTCCCAGTAAAGTTATCTTTTCATGTACTGTAATTAAGAATAAAACAATAGTACTCCAAAAACAAAAGCTTTGGCTTAACTGAGTTGTAAAGCTAAACAAAAACAGTAAAACTGAAAAATAATGAATCACTGACCATAAGTTTTCATTTTAAATGGGTTAAGGAATTAGTCTGGGGGAGGGGACTGGACAATATGTACAGTAGTGGCCAAAATTGTGGAAGCTGAGAGGAGGACATTTGTCAGTGTGTCATGTGATTGCTATCAAGTTGGTTGAGGTTTTTTGTGTTCTTTCATTTAGTGAGCTTGTAAAATGTAATAAAATTAAAGTAATGGTACAAAGAGTTGACTGGTTGCCCAAAAAGCAATGTAAAATAGTATTATTAAGTGAACAAGGCTACGGTTATAAAGAAATTAGAAGAAAGGAAGGGGACTATATGCCCATTCCCTTACAGATGGAAGTGGCAAATTAATATTAAAAGAGGAAAGAGATATATTAAAATTTGATTTAAAATACTACATTCTGGACAAATCTAGGAACTAAAAAACTGTCAAGATTATACCTTAAAGAATTTTTTGATAGAATTATAAAAATATATAACAAAAATAACTTTTTGATTAAAAAAAACTGAAAAAAGAAATAACTGCTAACATCTAGAGGAGAGTCAGAGAATAGAACACTAACAAGAACTCAGAAATTGGCAGAATGCCTAGAAACAAAGAAAAAGCTGTTCCTTTGAATTGCAAATAACCTTGAAGACAGTTAGGAAGGAAGAGCCAGCTATAAGATTAACAAGTGTCTGAAAGAGAAAAAAAACAACAACACCTGGACTGTTGTTTAAATCTAAGAACTGTTTATGGAAAAGAAAAACCTTGGCTTTTTGGCTAATCTTTTAGAGAAGAATCTACAGGAAGGATTTAAAGTGGCTTAACACATTGAACTGTAATTTTGACTGACTGATAAATTGACTTTTGAATTAAAGCATTGATGAAAGATTATTTGAAGGGGGGGAAAAACATGGATATAATATATGTATCAAAAATTGACAGGATGCAACTTCCGGTGGCGATGGCCGCGCCGATGGCGGCTTTTTTCAGCTGTCCACCCTGGGATGTGTCAAAGCCAGCTGAAACAGCGAGCAACAGCTGTCTTGCGGCTTGGAACCTCTCTCCCCGGGCAAAGGGGAGGAGGTGAGCTTTCCTCAGATAGTGGTAGAGCTTCCCGAGACCCCAAAGCTTTTTTTTGGTGGTCAGAGGGTGAGAGCTCCCAGAGTCTGAGGTGTCCTCCACATTCCAGGATGCCTTTGCCCTGATTTTCCTCCAGGGCAAAGCTAGACGCTGCTTCCACATCTGCGCTTAAAATGAATTTGTGAGTAAAATTTAAAGCAGACAGAGCTGACCAGGAGAGATTATTTCGAGATTTTAACTCTGGAAAAGAATTTATCTTTTCCTTTTTTCAATTAAGAGTGGTGAAAAATGGTGCTGAGATGTTGATTCTTTGAGTGAAAGGACCGGAACTTCTATTTGAAACAATGTAACAGATTTTGTATTTATATAAAATGCAAGAATCTTCTTTTTTCTTTTAAGGGGACTTTTGTCTTTTTTCCTCCCATCTTTTTTGGTATTTGTTGATTTTATAAGATTTTAGCAGACTTTTTAACAAGTGGTCTTAAAAATAAAATGGCTTCAAAGTGTCTCGGAACTTCTATTGTTTTTAAAGCCTTGATCTTCCCGGTAATGCAGACAGCTCAGCAAGTTCAGTTTAAGTTACCAGCACCTTCTCCATCGTCATCAGCATGTATACTTGAAGATTTACAGGATGCCTTGGGAAATAAGGCACGACAGATTAAAGAAGAGATGGAGGAATTTTTTGAAAATAAAATTAGGGAACTGAGAGAGGACATTGTGTCTGTGTTTCAAAAGTTTGTTGGTCATATAGATCATCTGGATGATCGTATTGATGATGTTGTGGAAAATTTTGAAAAACTGGAAGATCGAATTGATAAAGTAGAAAATAAGGTAGAAATAATACAGGATGAAATTATTATGTTACAATATAGAGACATGGAATTTGCTTTAAGAATAAGGGGAATGAAGGAAAACACGCAAGAAGATTTGAGACAAGTGGTGGCAAAAGATATAGCTTTCATTTTGGGGGCTGAGCCTGAAGAAATACTGAGAGAGACGGAAAAAGTTTTTAGGGTTAATTCAAGGGTTGCGAGGCAGAGGAATTTGCCACGAGATGTGGTTATTTATTTTTCTAGGAGATCACTTCATAATGAAATTTTACAGGCTTTTTATAAGCAGAGATTTCAAATTGCAGCTCAAGATGTTATAATTTTAAAAGAAATACCTTCAAAAATTCTTAGAAAAAGAAAGGATTTTGCTTTTTTGGCTGATGAGCTCAAAAAACGACAGGTCTGGCTCAGATGGGAGATACTGGCTGGAATAGTGGTGAATTATGCGGGGATATATCATAGACTTAATACAATTTCAAAGGCGAAAGATTTTTACACTTCTGTTTTGAAGGTGGGCTCTCCATCATCTTTACGACCTGAGATAATAGAAGAAAAGTTGGAAGAGCAGCCAGTTGAGGGTGCTATGTTATTGGATGTAGGAGATATACAGGTTGAATCTTTGCAGCAGTCTCTTGTGACAGAAGATTTTTTAAAGAAACCGAGAATGACTCGTGCAGCCTATAGATGTAAAGTAAAAGAACAGCAGAAGGCGGATGTTGGAATAAAGAAAAGGAAATGATGAACTTTTGTAGTAGTTTTTTGAAATAGAAGATGTTTTAAAGGAATAGTGAATGATTCGTGTAATATGTAGATGTAATTAAATATTTGGGAGTATATATATTATAAATTTTTAATTTAAAGTGTATAAAAATAATTATGAGATATTATGGGTAAATGTGTAAAAGAATTTAAATTCTAATGATCTCTGTTGGTGAGAATTTTAGTGATTAAGATGAATGGTTTGCTGAAACTTCTTAAGTAGGAGGGTATTAATAGATTTACTTAGGGGTGGGAAAAAAAGCAAATAGCCAAGTTTATTGAATGTAAGTTTGTTGGTTGGTATATTGGAGGGAAAATTTTGTGTTTATTATGGATGAATGGTTGTTTAAAAGAAATATACACCTCAGCATGGAGAAGATGGATAAATTACATGTAGAGTAAATATGGGTTAGAGTTGATATGGGATTAAAAAGTATTATTTAGATTATGAATAATTTTTAGTTTTTAATTTGGAATTGCTTATATTGTTATTTTTTGAATTTGCTTAAATTTGTTTTGTATTTGAGTTAAAGCACATTATTGATTTTGTTATTTGTATAGTTGGATAAGTTTATTTAGAATTTGCTTGTTTATTTGTAACCCTGTAACCAGATCTGGGAAGTGAGGGGGGAGGGAGGAAGTTATTTTAGGGAGGGATGTTGTTAAAACTTGTATAAAACTTTTCAATAAAAAAATGACAAGATGCCACATTCCATATTTTCTCTTGAAGGACTTAGCCTGGAAAATCAAGGGCCTCCAGAAGCAATACTTCAAGGCAAGATAAATACTTTCCAGGAGGAAATATATGTAATGTTAGGACAAATACAAATGACAATAGACTCAAACCACAAGGAAATTCAAAACAAATTCAAACTTTGATGATTTAAATAAACATATTTCCAATCTAAATCTACAATTAAAAAACACCCAGGAAATAACAACGAATGAACAAATAAATCAGACAACAGGCTAGAAATTAGAAGAGTATGATCAAACTGATGAAGTAACAAAGGAAAAGAATTACAATTTAACACAAACAGGAAAAAATCTACAAGGTTCTGATACAACAAGAAAAATGGAATGGACTATAGAATTATCAGGAGAACCATGAAAGTTTGGGAGTCAGAAAGCATTCATCTTACTTACTTTATCTTTTGTATTCCCAACAACATTTGTAAAAGTACAGGAACTGCCAGGTAAGCGGATTACATCAACTTAGAAAATTACTCGGCAAAAGAAGAAGACCAGAGACAGATACAAGAGATTTGACTCACCCTACCAGATGGATTATTATGTGAATAAACATGTGTTTGAATATGGCTAAAAGAACAGAGAATTTTGAACATAAAGGGGCTTTATAACAAGAAGGATAAGAGATTTAAGTAATATAATATGTTCTATAATATATGAAATGTAAAAATGTAACTTTTATTAATATAAGTGAAATATAAACTGATTAAAAAGGATGTTATATCTAGATACCATAAGATAGATAAAAAGTATAGTATGTTTATAATGCATGACATAAAATATTGGGATGATGTACCTAAATGGGAAAATTTGGACAGTTAGATGACTAATATGAAGAAATTATGGCTGATAAGAATTGGATTGAATATAAGGGAAATTAAGCGTAAACAAAAATTATAAAAATAGGATGCATGCTGAACTAATGACAATGGTTATGAGAATAATATAAGCTGAAAAAATGTTATATAGAGAGATTATTATTATTTGTAAAAATATAAAAAATGCCTATATCTAATCATTTATATATTGAAAATATTAAGAATTATATTTTGGCTAATAATGAAGAAGGAGAACACAAATGGGAGAAGGGAAGATCAAGGAAATATATCATTAATTAATATATTAATTATGGAATTATCAAATTTAATCATTATTGATTGTTAATTAATTATTATTGTCCTTTTTTCTTGTTAAAATATAAACCAAGACAATATGCTGTACACCAGGTACTGGAGATTGTTATAGTTAAAAACCAATAAAATATTTATATATAAAAAAAGATTGTTTGGGACACGACACATCCTCTTCACGACCTGTTTTCCTTGTTACCTTCTGGGAGGAGGCTCCGTGGTATCCGAAGCAAAAATCCAGATTCAGTCACAGTTTTGTGCTGTACAATATTAACCTTGTGAGCTCTAAAGCTTCCTCCTTCCATTATTATTCAAGATGGATAGTGATTAATATTTATATGTTACTGATATGTAAGGGTGCAGGTCTATATAATGTTGTATATACTATGTTTAAATGTGTGTTATGTATGTGTACACTTTGAGAGCAAGCAACTAAATTTCATTTTTAATGTGTGCCGTTGTGCCCCTAGTAAAAAAATGTCAATAAAAGTTATCATCATCATCATAATCAATATTCACAATTTAGAAAATATTTGATTCTGTTGTCTTTTTTTTCTAATATAATTTTTTTTCTGCTAGAAATAATATGTATTTTGATTTAATTTTCCACTACTTGGCAGACAGTATGCACAGCAAAATCATGAAGGCAAACTTTTTGTAGCCAAAAACTCAGCTTTCTTTCTCAATTATTTTGTCATTGAGATTCACCAAATAAGGAAATATGGGGATAGAGCGAATTCATCAGAGAAGGTGAGCCCAGAATGTGTGAGAGAGCAGATTGCCATTCCTAACAGGTGTACAAACTCATTTCTTGTTTTAATGTACTTTTTCTGTCAAAATTTAGTAGACATTTATCATTGCTGTTTGCTGTTTTGTGCAATGGGTTTCTGATTGGGGGAAACTTCAGAGGTTGAGCAAATGAAATTTGGGAATGCTTTTAACTTCAGGCTAAAGTGTCACCAAACTGATACAGAATAAGCGGTGGAAGTTAATTAGTGCTTGAGTTTTCAGCATTTAAGATTCTGTACTTTTTGCACCAAGCCTGTTCCTGTGAAGTATGATAGATGCCTAAGAAACCAGATCAAAGCCAAAGGAGAAAACTAAAGTATGTGAACCTGATCCTGTTAGCCTTTGAAATATTTATAAAAATCTGACTCTTCCCCCAAAGGGCATTGCATTGAACAATAAATTGAAAATTTTACCAGGAGTCTTTTGCTCTTTAATTAAATTGAAATGCAAATAATAATGCAATTAAATCTAAGGGAAATGAAACTCATTTGAATTTCATCTAGTAATTATTCTAGTTATTTTTTAACAGGTAGCAGATTACTTGGTGTTCCTGGCCATAAAATAAAAATGCTACCCCTGACACAACTACTATTGAAAACATTATCACTCTTATTAAAGCACACCAAGTGTTTGTATGGTTGAACAGAAATCACTAAAAACAACAGTTTACAAGATTTGAGATGATGTACAATATGCAAATCAACAGCCCTTTCCTGTTCTGTCTGGTTCAGGAAAATGATGTCACAGAAAAAAAAATGAGTTACAAGTGGAAGCTCAGCTGCTATATTAGAAATCACTCAAGGTAGCAGTGGATGTGGGCTAAGCTAATGAGGTAAGTACCAATCGATTCTTCCTTAGCATGATTGAAATAGATATTTAAGAAAACTAAAAGTGGGGTTGGGGAGGGTAGGAGAGAGAGAGAGAAAAAAAACATATCAAGCTATGTTCAGCTTCTATAACTGAGTTGTGGACGCATTTTGCAGGGAAGGATCACAGTCTTTTCCCACAGAGCTATTAATTTGAAATGGGAAAAATTGTCAACTACATTGTAAACAATGATGTAGAAGTGAGGAGAATGTTCAGAGGCAATAAATGTCTTTGATAGTTTCTCCTCCCAAATCTCTTTTGCTTAAAAATCCAAGGCAAATTGTAAATGTGAAGAATATTGTGGGATAGTTGACTAGACAGAAGGATTACATTATGACAGATCAGATGGGAAGATCTTGGACCTACATTTTATTTGCAAGTTGTGTAATTTGGTATAAAGGTTGTCATCTGTAAGCACTGTAATAATTTACATATAAATGCCCCCATTTATTGTTCCATCTATTAACTCCTTTACCAATGATGCTTTTGAATATTTTACAATGTTATATAAATCTGTTATTAGCATATCATGCATTTTCCTCTGACTGATAACCTGCAATATATATTTAAATAATGATATATAATATATATTTAAGTATATAACATGTTCTGCAGCATTTTGCTATGATTTTTGGCTCTGAGTTTGCTTATTCAAATAATTCTGTTTTTTTATGTGAAAGTTTTATTAGCTGTCTCACAGAATACAAAGTATACTCATACATAAAAAACTCAACGACGAACCAGTAAAGACAAAAATCAAGAGATTAAAAACAGGGAGAAGGGAACTAGCCAAAACAGCAGGGAAAAATGATTTTACAAGTCCAAATACTCTTAAAGAAGATTTTGCTTTGCTTGAGATGTAAAGACCGTGTGCATAAAAATGGTGGGGCTTGGATCATAATGCTGTGCCTGCCAACTTGCAGATTTTTATCTCTATAAAAATGTCACTTGTGACATTCCTGTTTGGCCCAAACTTTCATTCCAAACTCCAATTTTCAGCTTGTTTTAATCACCACCAGTACTACCTGCCAGTACTACATTCATTGCAAACTAAATCTAAATTATCTAAAATTCTAAAAAAAAAATATCTAAAAATCTAAATCTATAAATCTAAATCTAAAAAAATCCAAATCTAAAAAATCTAAATCTAAATCCAAATCTACTTTAGTTATACAGTGGGCTAACTAACTTCACCATCCCAATCAACTGATGACCTCAAATCCACATTATTCTCCAAAATAAAATTCAACATTATTATTCCCAGCAGAAGAAATTATAAGAGACATATCAGACTGTGGAAAGTGTGGGAATTATTGTCATTAATGGGATGTTTTTCTTATTAATAGGAAGAATTCTCAGTATTTAAATGTTTTCCATTTTCTCTTGAAGTTTTAAAAGTTTTCTCCTCCTCTTTATTCAAAGCCTTGGAGGATCAAACCTATACTGTATACATTCATCATGCCCCATTTAAAGCAGCTCTGAAAACAAGCTTCAAAACTGAGAATGTTTGCAGAAAAGGGATGGGGTTACAAACTCAACCATGTGACAAATGTCCTACCCCTCTTTTGCAGGTCTTGCACAAACAATGGACATAAAAGGGAGAAGGTTTCGCTGCGTGGTGGCAGCCCCACCTGACTTTTATTGACACTCTGTCAGATTGTCCTGTCATAGCCTCAAGATTAAGGTCACAACTGCAGCCAATGATTGGCAGCAGTTGAAATGAAACTCCCTAAAATAAAATAGCTTTCTATGAGGACCAACACTCATATCTGAACTAAAAAAGAAAGTTCAGTCTTAAAAAAAAAATCATGTAAAAAAAAAAAAGTCCAGTCTAAACAATACCAATCTGGACTAAAAAAAAAAAGTCAAAGAAGTGGAACAAGAAAATGCTTCTTGTTAATAAAAAATGCTTGCCATTAATAATAATTTCTACACTTCTTACAGTTAGATGATATGTGTCATATAATTATGCATTAACCTCCTATTGGGGGGATAATAATTTTAGGTTTTAGTTTTGTGGATTTTAGGTCATCGATTCATTGGGATGGTCAGAGATAAAAAGATTATAAAAGGGGCCATGTAAAATGGGCCACCCTAATATAATCTATAAGTATGCATTAATATGAGAAGAAAGTTTATTACTGGTTTATCCTGCCTTATGAGCATAATTTAGGTACAACATCATAAAGGTATCCATAATTTATAACCCCTAATTTGAAACGTAGACTGTTGCTACAAGAACTAAAGACCTTGCTTGCATTTTCCTTAAGTTGAAAGTCACTAACTATTAGCGTGGCTGTCTTGATTATGAAATTCCCTTTTAATTCTCTTGTCGTGCCTGTTTGCTGATGTTTTAGTTTTCTGGATTTAGGTCATCGCTTCATTGGGATGGTCATACATAAAAAGATTATAAAAGGGGCCACCCTGATATAATCTGTAAGTATGCATTAATAATATCCTGCCTTATGAGCATAATTTAGGTACAACATCATAAAGGTATCCATAATTTATAACCCCTAATTTGAAATGTAGACTGTTGCTACAAGAACTAAAGACCTTGCTTGCATTTTCCTTAAGTTGAAAGTCACTAACTATTAGCGTGGCTGTCTTGATTATGAAATTCCCTTTTAATTCTATTGTCGTGCCTGTTTGCTGATGTTTTAGTTTTCTGGATTTAGGTCATCGCTTCATTGGGATGGTCAAACATAAAAAGATTATAAAAGGGGCCACCCTGATATAATCTGTAAGTATGCATTAATAATATCCTGCCTTATGAGCATAATTTAGGTACAACATCATAAAGGTATCCATAATTTATAACCCCTAATTTGAAACGCTGACTATTGCTACAAGAACTAAAGACCTTGATTGCACTTTCCTTAAGTTGATGTTTTGCATTGAGATTAAAAAACCATTTTATTGTCTAGATAACAAATATTCATGTATCATCATGCACTTCTCACAAACTAATTGTCAAAAAAAGAATAATTTCATTCTCAAAAGTAGAATGCACAGTCATTTAAACAGAACTGAAACACATTTCAAAAAATATCGATATAATATTTGCTCCAGCACAAACAATAACCCACTTATGCTTAAAGCTGGTATGGAGCAGAAGAAAAGGGAAGCTATAACAAAAAATACAGGTCAGGCTAATAATTGCACTGGCAGCAACCATGCAGCGATCTCAGGATATTCGTTCTAAGCCACTAATGGAGAAGGAGGCCTATATTTTTCAAATTTATTAATATATTTGAGATCACATTTTCTGACAGAGGCAGATTCCATATTCTAATCTCCATGATGCCTTCTGCCTCATCATATTTGAAACTGATTGAATAATAGGGTGCTATTTCCTATAATCAAGAGAGAAATGCAGATCTGATTAACTTGATTTTGTTAATTTTCTTTAATAAGAATTTTCTTAAATTCTTTAATTTTATTTACAACAAACTTAATTTTCTTTAAGAAGACTGAGTGATTTCATAAATCCCAACTTCTGTCGACTTCGCTCCAATGTTTAAAAACTTTGGCAGGTTATATACACATATTCCAACATCAGTGAGTAATTTTAGAACAATCCAACAAGAATTAAATTCCACATTGACATTACTTGGTATGTAGAGCAGAAAGGGCTCTAAACTATCAACTAATAATTTTAACTAAGAATGAACCTAGAAAGAAGGAGAAATTTCCTGACAGTTACAATAATTAATCAATAGGTCAGCTTGCCTTCAGAAATGATAGGAGCTCCATCCCTGGGATTTTTTAAAAAATAGATTGGACAAACATTTCTCTGAAATGGTATAGGGTATAGGTTCTCCTGCTTGAGGAGGGGGTTGGACTAGCAGACCTCCAAGTTCTTTTCCAATTCTGTTATTCTGTTAGTATTATAACACAAGCTCTTTCCTTGTGAGCCTGAAAGTTCTATTTCCCCGATTGATCAGGGAAAATCAATAATTATACTTAAAGAATCCACATTTTCAGAGGATTCTTTTTGATCACAGACAAATTAATTAATGCCTTATACTGTATAGTGGCATTGGGACAGTGTGTATGTGAAAACAGGCAAGATGATGGCTGCAACAGCATGGCTGAAGCCCTGCCGCTTTTATGGTTTGACATTGCATGCATGTATCAAAGGGCAGACTTTGATTTCATGTCCACATTGGCCATCTTCCCCCTTTGATACACATTTGCCCTATTGGTTTCCTTTTAGCCATTAATTAAGAAATAAATGCTTGGATTTAGTATGTCTTCAGCCAATTGTAAGATACTTATTTTAAATTTATTTTATGTTCAAACCCAGAGCTGAGCATCAAATTTGGAAGAATTTTTTTCTGTTTTTGTTCTACATTTAGAAATACAGTAATGAAATTCTGCAATATGTAAGAAGGAGAGGAGATGGTATTACACTTGTTCATCATTTGTGTTCAGCTTTGTTTTTTATAATTGTAAAATTATAATTCCCAGTAAATCTGATGTGCACAGTAGCCAGATCTATTGCAAAATATATGGCTATAAGTAATATATGATTTAATTAATCTCAGTCTAAAAGTTAGGAGACTGTGAAGTCGAATCTTGGCTTTGGCATGTAGCTTTGGATAAACTTTGAAATATTTCAGTAAGCACAGACAAAAATCTTCAGAAAGTTCAGTCATATTAATTATATTGTAACCATTGAAAAACATTATCTTCTACATTCTTACTGTAGTAAGCTTATTCTTAAGGGAGTGTGTTTCTAGCACAGTTCCTTTTAAAATTCCTTACTGTCCCATAATCTTTTTTTATAGTGTAAATTGATTTGTTATTTTTTCTCTTCAAACATGTTATTTTGTTATTTTATAATTATTTCAAAAATATCCTCTTGGAGCTGTATTGCTTTAGAGATGGGCCTTTCTCACAATCACCTGTCCTTTTTTTATCAGAACTGCTGCAATATATTTCTCTCTCTTCCCAATTCTTGTCCAAATGGGTATTTTAAAAGCCAATATTTAGAAAAAAAATCAAGGGTTTTATATTCTTTTTTAAAAAATACTATTAGATCCAATAACAGTTAAAATCAATAAGATCCACATAATAAAACAAAATTTTAAAAAATCAGGGTGCACAACAACACCAATTCTTCCATCAGAGAGTTAGATTCCTCACATTTCCCCAGCCCTCCATGCTCTCCTCTGCTTCAATTCGTCCACCCATCTATCTGCCCCCTACCTTTGCTCTTCTGGCCACCTTGCCCTTGGCCACCCATGCCCTCCCCTATCCCTGCCATCTCTGCCACCCTACATTCCTCCATCTTTCTGTCCCTGTTGCCTTCAGCTGATTTTCACTATTTTCTTCCTCTTGTTGTTGACAAGGCATGCCTGTCCTGGCCTTTCTTGAGGTAGCTGCTGTTTGCAACAGCTGTAATTTTGAGGAATGGTTATAAATATCATTTATTCAGCACCATTGCAACTTTGACCGGTCACTGAACAAAAGATTGGTAAGCAAGGACTACCTCAGTAGTAATTTGACAAGGTGGATGAATGTAAGCAAGGTTCTCCAAAGGCTGAATTAAGGAGTGATTTAGCTTGCATCAGTGCTATATGAACCTATTTAAAGGTTATGTGTAAGAAAAGAGCAGGCAGAGTTGTGGGAGCAGAGTTAAGCATGTCAGAATCCTTTTGTTGTCACAAATGATCCAAATCCAGCCCCCCTCTTGAATGACTAGATTAATAGCAGGTACAAAGGATTAGGACAATACATTAAACTGCTGCATAGCCTATATACAAGAATCTAGTCAACTAATGGTCAGCACTAAATTGGAGCTAGAAAAATGTCAATGGATCTCAAGAGAGGAACTGGACTTGGATCATTTGTGGCAACATAAAGACTCTAAGCTGATGACATATTTAACTTCACCTCCCCCCCCCCAACACTGCATGCTCTTCTTGAACACTATGGCAATGAAGCTCTAGGAGGTGATATCTGGCTGGCAATTTTAGACATAGGAAACAGCAAGCAGAAATGTTCTTCACTAAATAGAGCTTCACCTAAAGTATTCATTCAGGTCTCACAAACAGATGAAAAAGAAGCTCATGTACAGCTTCCCTGACTCCATACACCCTTCCCTTCCCTCCCTCATGGTACAATGACCTGATGTCCTGGATGTTCTAGGCAGAATTTCTCACCTGACTTTCTGCTTAAAGGCCCCTTGGAAAGCTGCAGTGGTTGACTATGTGTTAATGGACACAGGGCGGTAAATACTTCTGTTTGCTTTTATTCTGCAGATGGAGAAGGCATCTTGCAGTTTGCTGTCCGTGAAAATCATACAAATAACCAATTTACAAAAAGCCGATTTATGTGAGTATTTTGCTATTTCTACAGATTCCATCTGGTACACTGGATATCCACTACTAATTTGCTCTGACATAGATATTCACATTAAATAATATATTATAATGCAATGTAGTAAGTTGCTATTATTCTGCAAAGTTATATGCAATTTTAAAAGAATTGAATTTTCCTTATTTTATTTATAAATTACATTTTTTCCTTTAAAGTGTTGGTTTCAAAATAGATTGTAGAGACTTATTAGAAGGGGAACGGTTTGACATGATACATTTCCAAAAGATGTTTGTATTGGGAGCTTTCCTGTTTAACAATGATTGAAAGGTTAATCCAGACTGTGGAACTTTCCTTTGTTAATTGTCTTTGAAAGACAAAATTTAGGATAAGGGAAGAATAGGTTTTAAAATGTCCTCTTATTTACATGTTCATGAAAATTCAAACAATTTGTTTATACTGTAAAAACTTAATTATCATCAAACATATTTTTTTCTGACCCATGTAGTCATTGTGCAATTTAGTTTTACTGTGTAAATTCTCTGAATGTAGCAAGTTGTGTATATGTAGATGATGCTTCATATGTCTAATTCAACAAACAAATAGCAGAGGAAAGTTGCTAAAAAGCCGCCCCCCCTTTTTTTAAAAAAGCATTTAATGTAACCATTACAGACAAGGCCATCTTCAGAGGACTAAAAATAATAATAAAATAAAGACTGGAGACCATGTATCAGTTTCTATGCATTGAGTGGACATAGCGAAAGCCAGTCAGTGCTTATGTAGTTCTATGCTTTTATGATCTAAACTTTAACATCCATTCAGTCATTGTGAATTCAGAAATTAGATCTAGTTAAAAAAACTCTTGGTTTCTTTATACTTTCTGGTTATATGTATGTGTATACAATCTTGTCAGGAATTAAAATAAACTTTGATGATAGCATCTGTTCTAGGAATGCTGCATTAATCCCTCTTTTTATAAAACAAACAAACTCAAAACCCAACAGTTAGCCAATCTGACTGCTATGTGAGCTTGTTCCTGCCATCAGCTTCATTTGAAACGGCTCAGACAAAGGCCATTAAGGACTGTAAAAATCCAGTATGGAATGAAACCTTCTGCTACAGGATACAGAATCATGTCAAAGTAAGACACAAAGTCATTATATTTCTCTTTGAGTTCCAGAACCACATTCAGATGCTTATTTTGTAAATATTCAACTGTGAAGAGGCATTAATTCAAAATATTTTTTTGAACATATTTATCTGATTCCTATTTCAGTGCCAGACTGGGGATCAATTATTGGGTGTACATTCATAAGATATTTTTTGTATGGTTGTAATAATTTTAACAACTTTTTTTGGTAAATATAGCATTGCAGTTATTAATAACAGAATTAAACCATAGTGGTATAGCAACTGGATTATGATATAATATGTAGCATTAGTAAAAGGGAAACTTAATTTTGGGATCCTTTCATTGATTAGTATATCTTTATATATATATAGGGCAAAATAAAATAAAAACATTTACAATGGCAAAGATGAATAAGGCAGAAGTTAACAATCTGACAAATGAATCAAAATAATTTTTAATCTACAGCTGGGTTACTCACTTTGGCTACTTTTTTTATACAATTAACAATCAGCGTAGTAACTCTAAATGTAAAATAATACATAACACTTGCAAGTGTTATGAATTTGCAAGAGGGAAGTAAAATAATAATTAAATAACCTTTAAGCATTGGTCAACATTGGAAGTGGAGTCACAAATCACTAAGTCCCAGAGCTTGTTGAAAGAGCCAGCTCTTCAAGGGCAGTGGCATAATGGTGGAACAAGGTCTGTCTCCAGGACTGTAATGTTTCCAAGTGAGGAGATCATTATTTTACAATTCTCTTTAAATAAAAGAGTTATCTGGCTTGTTAAAGTAATCTTTATTTACATAGCTGTTGAAATGTCTTTCATGACAACAGGTAGAAAAGTTGTGGTAGCTGTAGAGTTTATAAAAACTTTGCATAACAAGTAATCAATTCTTGTAAAACTGACTTAAGAAAGACATTATAATGACATCCCTTAGCAACAAATACCAGTTTGAAATGGTTGGGCTAATAATACAGATGGTCCTTGACTTACAACTATTTGTTTAGTAACTGTTCAAAGTTATAATGGCACTGAAAACAGTGACTTATGACCGTTTTTCACATTTACGACCATAGCATTCCCCATCTTGCAAAGGAGGAGTCTTTCGTGTGAAGAGAAGAGAATATTACTATTTTTTTGGTTTTGTAATCTAGATTCAAAACCTGATGATTTAAGTTTCCTTCTCTTCTCAGAATATTTTGGAGCTGATGGTTCATGATGAAAACCGCTGCCTTTTGGATGACCAACCCTTCACTGTTCTCTTTGATGTTGCTAAACTTCAGCTTGGAGAAACAATTTGCCTTACATTTCCATTGGATCCAAAAGTACGGGGTCAGAACTACTAGTCAAAGGAATAACAAGCAATAAAATTTCTGATATTTACTGGTGGAGGAATGGGAAGAGATGATAATAGATTTAATGGGAACTTTCAGCATCAAACACAATAGGCAAGGAAGGACAGGATGGCTATTCTAGGAACCTCATTGGTGTTCATATGTGTCATAGTTAAAATTTCAAAATTCTTTACTACTAAAATAATTTTTTGTAGTGGGATTTTTTTTTTAATATTTAATGAATTCACATGTCTAAAACAGACATTCAGATATAGTCATCCTTCAAGAATATACTTTGAAAGCAAAATGTCATCATTGCTATTTTATTCACAAGAGGTGACTTTGAGGAGTTTTGGTTTAAATCAGGCATGTCAAACTCCCGGCCCACAGGCCGGATGTGTCACACCAAAACCACACCCACCCCATTGCTAGCAATGGGAAAAAAGTCCCAATACATCACATGACGCCATGTGATGTTGTGAATTTGACATGTCTGGTTTAAATGAATTGGAAATGACATTCAAACATCAGTGAGTTAATTGCAGTTGTGCTTGTACTGGATTCAGGTGAATGGAGGACATACCTGCTGATTATGTTGCAGACATCCTTTTTTAATATAATAATTTTATTAAAGATTACAGATTTTATAGATAATAACTACAATATGTATTTTATATATAATATTACAAGAGGAAAAACACATATAATAAGGGGGGAAGGAAGTGATTTCTCCCTCATCATGACATAAACACATTTTTTAAACAACTCATCAACTTCTCTTTAAAAATAAAAAAGACTTTCTTCATCCCATAGCTCATATCCATATTATGTATAAATATAATGTATTATGTATATATATCCATATATATGTATATATTAGAAAAACCAAAAGGAAAAATTGAACTCCAGGATAGAAGTATAAGCAAGACTGTTTAATATAAACAAGCCTGTTTGTTACAAAGTCACTTAGCTTTCATTGGCCAAACTGCCGGCATCGTCAGAGTGAAAGTAAAAGAAGATCCAGGAGATCTCACTCTGACGATGCCGGCAGTTTGGCTGATGAAAGCTAAGTGACTTTGTAACAAATAGGCTTGTTCATATTAAACAGTCTTGCTTATACTTCTATCTTGGTGTTCGATTTTCCTTTTGGTTTTGCTAACATGCACATACCCAGGATTCACATTTTTAATGTTATCAAAGACACCCCCACACACCCACATACTCACCCATCCACACACCCACACACCCACACACACACACACATATATATACCCTTATCTATATAGAAATCCTCCAAATCATAGTCAATCAAAGCCCATTAAGAGTTATCTGAAAAAATAAACTGTATTAATGTTAGTCAAATAGATTTAAAGTACAAAATAAACACTTCTTCCCATACTTTATCTCTTATCTGAAAACAGGAAATTAAAAGCCCTTCATTCAGTCCAAGTTAGCAAAAGTCCATTCATTGTCAAAGATAATAATATATCTATTTTAACCTTGAATAAATAAACCAACAATTAATCAGAGGAACGACCTGCATCCAGAAGTTGTGGCTGTTCCAACACTGGAGACTTTCAAAAAGAGACTGGACATCCATTTGTCTGAAATGGTACAGGGGTTCCTACTTGAGCAGGGAGTTCCAACTGTTGTTCTGTTACTTCATATTCCTTCTCCCTTATTCCCTAAGTTTTAGCTTTTAGTACCCTCAAATAGAAATTGGTTTCTTTTCATTTTTTTCTTTGTCTTTTATCAGAAAAACTTGAAAACTTTAGCAGATCTCGATCTTAGACCTTGACTTCTTTTCATTTTTCTTTTGCCTCTTGTCACAGAATCCTTCAAAGTTTTAACAAGCTCTTTCATCCAATATAGGAAGATTACAACACTTTCCTGGTTTATTATATGTACAGTATATCCTCTTTAATTGTTGAAGCCTCAGCCAGTTTTATTTGTACATCCAGTTTTTCATCCCTTTCTATATAATGCTATATAATTCTTGTAACTTGTCATTTCCAAATCCACATTTAAATTGGTTTCAGTCTTATCCAGTAGAACTTGTTCCTCTTCTACAACATATTTACATGCTGTTTATAATTTATTTAATTTAAAAATAAAAAGATATTTTTTAAAAATTAATTTCTGAATCCATTGTTTCCAAATATCCTTAAATAAATCCAGTGTTAAAACATTTTGTTCTATTCTTATCCAGTAATTTAAGTCTTTCTCCTTTGAATGCAATCTTTAGTTCCTTCTAATTCCCTCTAGTGACCAAACATCAACTTCCCAGCTTATTATGTTTCCCACCTTATTTTTAGAGTTAAAACAACCTCAGCAATTTCCCACATGAAAGATTCATGTAATTTTATTTCACATCTATCTGGATCAGTGTTTCTCAACCTTGACAATTTTAAGGCATGTGGACTTCAACTCCCAGAATTCCACAGCCAGTGTTGCTGGCTGTGGAATTCTGGGAGTTGAAGTCCACATGCCTTAAAATTGTCAAGGTTGAGAAACACTGATTCTGGATTCTTAGTCAGTTTATAACTTTCCAAAACGAGTGCTGATTGCTCCTTTGCTGTTCACTTCAAAATTATTTTTTTCTGAGTCTTGACATTCATATGCAGAAATCATTTCACTATAGATTGAAGGAAATTTACCCAGTGAATACTGTGAAATTTGCCATTCTGAGGGTTCTCAATATTTTAGAAACGATCAAAAAGTGATTCCAAAAGTGAATAAGAGATGAGGACTGGCTGAACTTAAACATCCTTAGAGGTATTATTAGCTTATGAGCTTGATGAAATCCCACATTTAAGTTTAATTATCAGAGATGTGATAGCAGGAATCAGACAGGACCTCTTGCTAAAATGGGTACATACCCACATAATGAAATGAAGACACAAACCATTAACATGATACCATTAATATTTAAATCTGGAGTGAGGTAGCAGTAAAAGAAAATATATCCTATTACATCAAGTTAATATATTGTTGCATATTAAAGGAATTTGTGCATTTTCTGGAGATAACTCCATATATATTATAATGAAATAATGCATTATTTTTTCATAGATTCAAGAAAATCTGGAAGTCGAATTTAGTCTGGAAAATATGTAAGTACCTCCTAGACTTTTAAGAAATTGTAACACAAAAAAAATGCTTCCCTGCCTCCTATGGAAACTGTGGACAAGGTGGCATGGGGTATTGGATAGAGTTGTCTGATTTTGCATGCATCTGTTTGATATCCTGACATGGAATATGTGGGCATATTGGGATTTATACCTTCCACCTCTCTTCAGCCTTCCTTTATTCTTGCAGTATTCACTGATCTCAAACGATGGACCTGAATCTATGATTCTGTCACCATATGCAGTAGATCAAGTAGTAGGATTTTTTTTAATGTCTATTCTGAAACTACCAGATTGGGATTACAAAAAACCCAGGTGACCCTCAAATGGCAAAAATGATTTGATGGCACATAATCAATCTTATTATTTCAAAATGAAAATAGTCAAAATGATGTTTAGTTTCATCCTAGTCTTGGGTGTTAATACAGAGAGTGATGCCATTAATTCACGCCACCCCAAATTAAATAAAAGACAGATTTAAATAACCAAAATCTATTATATGTATTTTTTTTTCAGCTCAGTTCCTCCCGAGAATATTGTTACCAATGGTGTATTAGTGGTAATTTCCATTCTGCTTTTTATCTCTTTTTAAAAATTCATGTTGTGGTGGGTGTATGGCTATTTTAACTCTGCAATCCTAAATTTGATTTTATCTTGTGGGTGTGTGAATAGAATGTGTGAGTGCAATTAGTTGAGGTGGATGATATAAAGTTTCACCATAATGAAATGAGACATAAAAGACCCTCTATAGCCATACACAGAGATTCTTTGCTTTTGTGGTATGAATAAGAAAATCACACAGGAACTATGCCTTTAATTATAATTTCCAGCAGCCTCAGAGGCTTCAGCACAATCCAGTATTACTTACCATACTGGGCTATAAATTGGTTAGCCTAGCATGAATGCTATGAAGCAAAGCCCATCATATTTAATTGAGTTTCCTCTCACATAAGCAGGCATGAAATCTGAAAGAGGAATCCTAAATATATTGGGAAGCAAAGGCATGAGGGGAGTGTATGATGATAGTACGAACTAAATGTATCCACAAAAACACACAAATGCATATGCAAATGGTGTGGTAGAGTGACTCATTTAGACCAGGGGTAGGCAACCTTGGCTCTTTTATGATTCGTGGACTTCAACTCCCAGAATTCCTGAGCCAGCTTGGCTGGCTCAGGAATTCTGGGAGTTAAAGTCCACGAGTCATAAAAGAGCCAAGGTTGCCTACCCCTGATTTAGACCATTTTGGAAGCTACCCAAAGATGATTATATACTGAGTGGATTTGTGCATTTAAAAAAATAAATGAACGAATAAATATCAAGCAAACAAATAAATAAATAGGCCTCTCAGGCAATTTAAGGGACTTTTGTTCAGAAAAGTTTAGCAGAATCAGAGCATCTCTAAGGAGACAATTACATCTGCTCCCAACCAAAGGATGCAGAGATTAAAGCTGATCTGCAATATTTATTTAAAGTTTTCTTAAACTTTTCCATTTTGGTTCCAGCTTGAATCAATTTCAGAACCAATCATAGATGCCTCCCATATTTTAGTGCTGTTAATGTTCATGAAAAACTTTGTTTAACTTCATGTATTTAAAATAGGCACACAATTCTAATTTGGCTATTAATTTAGGAAGTTAGATATTCTTGGCTAATTCTCATGTTGTAAAACATTCCTAGTGATGTTCTATTTCTTTCAAAGTTATCTTGCTTTGACCATTAAGATTTTCGTCCCCTTTTGACAGTCCCGTGAAATTTCCTGCTTGGAGATAGAAGTGAATAATATGAATTGTGTTTCAAAAGGTAAACTTGGAAATGTATTGTTTTATATCTATTTTTAATTTAAAAGCTTGTTTATATTGTTTTAACTGCCAGCTGAAGGACATGAATCAGATGAATGCATGTTGATCACAGAGTAAAAAAATGTACAATACAAATGTAGTTAGTTAAATCCAATATATATAGATCATTGACTCCAGATAGCTTCAAGGCCATATGCGTAACTAAGCAAAATCTGACAAAAGATGATTCCTCTATTATTTAAATCTCAGATTTCCTACAGAAAGACTTCTGCCTTGAATGCCCATTGAAAAATCATTCAGAAGAACACTAACTAGAAATGGAGGCAAAGTATTTTGTAAAAAGGGAGAATAATATTCTTTGTTCCCAGTCTCAGGGGACAGGGGACATCTCAGCTTGCCCTTCTGGATATATTCCCTGTTTAGCAGGTTGTCTCTATCACTATAAGAGATGACTATAAAATTATGGCATTTACCTAAATACTACTAAAACACTAGTTGACATGACTTTTAACTGGATGAAATGATGCATCACAGAGCAACTATTTTCAAATCAAGCTTCCTCAAATGGGCTAACTTACAGAATGTGTCCAAAATCCAGGCTCCATGACTCTGGAGAGAATGAAATTTGGGGAAATTATGGCTGCTTCAGTCCAACTGGCTGCTGTTGCTGCTGCACTGCTGGACTTCTACTGTGGTCTTGTGATCTTCATTTTCAATGTTCCCTCAGTCTTGCAATTCCTCATTCCCTCCCCCACCTTAACTGCCTGTTGGGAAGGAAAGGGAAGGAAAAGGGAGGAGAGGAGAGGAAAGAAAAGGGGAGGGGAGGGAGGAAGGAAGATATATAGGCATACCGTTTTCTTTAATATATGCTTTTAAAAACACACAGAGAGAAACATATACCCCTACTTAGTTACTTGGAATATACATTATATTTATTGTTTCATAACAAACATTTTCAGCAAAATTATATACTAGTAGATATATAATGGTGGAATGCTCTTTAGAGAATTGTAACATTTTATTTTAGCAAATATCTGTTTGTTTTATTTTTCATGGGATGCAAGTTAAGTTTGACTTCATTCTTGAGTCAGTTCCCTGTGTAATTGCACCTTTCCCTCTCCACAGATGAAATTGCTTTATTTATTCTGCAAGGATCCTATGAAGAATCTCAGAAAGTTCTGTTGACTTCTTCTGTTCCTCTTGAATTTCAATGCATCAAGTATAAAGGATCTGCCCTGAAAATTGAATTACTAAAGAATATCTGTGTATGTTTTAAAGACACATTTTAATTCAAAAAGCAAGGCAAATGTATTTGAATTACTTGTCTTATAGGAGTGCTGGCGAACCTTTTAGAGACTGAATGCCCAAACTGCAACCCAAAACTCATTTATGTATTGTCGGGTGCCAAGTAGCCATGGCCCATTGGGTGTGCATGGCCCTTTGGGTGTGCATGGCTTTGGTGATAATGGCAGACTGGGCAGAACTAAAAAGTTCAATCAAACAATTCCAACTTTGCGAGATTTTTTTTTCCCGTGAGAAGTTGAAATTGATTGAACCTTTTTTTTTTGCATGTGGCAGTGGAGGCCTAAAGTGAAAAAGTTTTATGAAACCCAGCTGAAGGCCTAGGACTGGGGCGACGGTGTGTGTGCTCACAGAGAGGGCTCTGCATGTGTACCATAGATTCGCCACCACGGTCCTATAGCATACATTTATTTTGGAGAAAAATACTGACCCCCCCTAATGATTTCTAAGGTCACCTATAGCCATTACTGGAGGTAGCTAACCCCTATTATCAGACTGATGGACATACTTGTGATCTGTCTCATGATACATTATTTCCATATATATGGAAGATATGAGTAGAAAACCTATTTTCTCCTTGGTTAAACCTAATCAAATAGTAATGTATTTTCTAAGATCAACAAAGGTATTGCAACTTCTTTGGGATTTCTATCCTATTGTGAACAAGGATTATTCTTATTCTGAGCAATGGTTTAATTTGCTGATGATGCTAAATCTATTCAATTGACTTGACTTTAGTTGGGAGTGAATCATACAGTGTTAATGAATTCTAACTAGTTTAGTTGTACCCAATAAGCTATGCCACTGGAGAAGGGCCTAATGCTGGGAAAGATTGAGGGCAATAGAAGAAGGGGACGGCAGAGAATGAGATGGCTGGATGGAGTCACTGAAGCAGTAGGTGTGAACTTAAATGGACTCCAGAAGATGATAGAGGACAGGAAGACCTGGAGGAACATTGTCTATGGGGTCGCGATGGGTCGGACACGACTTCGCAATTAACAACAACAACAACAAATAAGCTATGCCCACATATTTCAGTTTAATGTGATGGTTAACCTTGTGTGTTGGTGTTTGTCTGTGTATACGTGTGTCTTCCAATGTAAATGTGCAGCCAGATTGGGTGAGAAGACTTTGGGAAGTGAAATTGCAAATGAAATTTGGCTCTTTAGAATATGGGGGATCAGATGAATGCTAACAGAGGTAAAACTCACTTGCACTTTTTTCAGTTAGTAGTAGGAAGTGGGAGCTGCCAACAAAGAAATAGCAGCAGTGAGCATCACCTGCTTTTATTGTGAATATTTCCAAAATGTTTCTTTTGTTGTTAATTATTGTTAATTATTCATATAGAACATGGTTTTGATCCAGCACCTCATAAATATGTTAGACAGCTATCTCTAACAACAGAGCCTTGCGAACCAATAGAAGATTGCTAATTAATTAATTGATTAAATTTACTAGAGCTGTCCAACTCCAACACTCTCTGTGTGACATACAACTCCCCCCCCCATTCATAAAAACAGAGAAATTCTAAAAGCACATAGGCTTCTTTATCTTCCAATGAATGCAATATACTGGATTCTGGATTTACAGTTGAAAATCCCTAATATACAGTACCTAAAGGTTGAATCATGGCAACTGAGCTATTTTTTTGCTAGTCTGACACATTTTACTGGTTGTCCAAGCAGCTTCATCAGTCAGAGCAAGTCGGTTAGGCAAAGATTTGTTGGAATGTACCAACTCTTGCCACACCAACTTCAGGGGTTTCCTCACCAAAATGTGTTGCAATATGTCTATGAAGACTTTCAATCACCCACACAAATGTGTCTAAAGGTTGAATGATGACAACTGGACTAATTTTTGTTTTTTGCTAGTCTGAAGCATTGTGCTGCTCATCCAAGTAGCTTCATATAAGCAATGAAACATCTCAGACTAGCAAAAAAAAAAAAAAAAAAAAAAAGTCCAGTTGCCATAAATCAACTTTTTGACATCTTTGCCTGGATGATTGAGAGTTTTCATCAACATATTGCAATGCATTTTGGGAAGGAAAGCCCTGACATTAATGTGGCAAGAGTTGGTACATTCCAACAACTCTCTGCCTAACTTAGCTTGCTCTGACTGATGAAACTGCTTGGATGAGCAGCAAAACATCTCAGACTAGCAAAAAACAAAAATTAGTCTAGTTGCCGTGATTCAACCTTTAGACACCTATTCTTCATCAACCAACATAGCATAGTTCCTGATTTAAAAAAAAAATCCAGTTTTTTTAAATCAACATTATAACCAATGGAAATATGTTCTGCAATAAGTTGAAGATGCCCTTGTTTTAATAGCTGTTACTATGTGTTAATACAACAAATCCACACTACAATCCTATACATATCTACCTAGGAGAAAGTTCCACTGAGTTCAAGGTTGCAGGTTTGCAACAGTTAAGGCTGTTTTGTATTAAGCTGTTCTGTCTCTTAGTGTTTTTCAGGTAGAAAAACAGATAAAACTGTTTGTCTTACTTTACCTCTGGATTCAATGTCAATGGAAAAAGAAGTCATTATAGCCAAGGTAAATACTGTTTCATGATGGAATATGGAAAATCTATAAAATCTTTTAAAAGATTAAAAACTTAATTTTATTTTGCAAAAAGAGAGGGTGGCTCAATATGTTATTATTAATTAAACATATAAATTAACTTTTAAGGTAACAAATGTAGAGGAATAGTCTTAACTTTAACCATGGAACTTTACATTTTGTGGATTCCAATTACCCCAGCCATTCTGGCCAATGAAAAGAGATGTGTGAAATAGTTCAACAATATCTGAGGAGGGCACACCCCCCCCCCTCCATACACACATTGGACAATTTGTGGAAACTATAAAAAGGTCTCCAAGTACTCAGAGAAAGATATTTTAGAGATACTAAGAAATGTTTGACTCTGAAGGTATGTACTCAGTTGTGACTTCCAATTCCTCAAGATATCTCAAGTAAAGTAAGGAAAATGTTATTATGCAGACATGTAGAAGAAATATTACAAAGAGGCAAGATAAAATTGCTATACAGCAGTATTTACAACCAGTCGCTTAGTGACTATTCAAAGTTACAATGGAGCATTCCCCCAATCACGTGACTGCATTGTAGACAATGAGCAACAGGCACACATTTAGAGCCTTTGCATTCTCCCACAATCATTTAATGACAATTTACTTTTTTAAAAAACCAAAAACTGATCTTTACTTCCAGTTTTGCAAAACCAACACACAGTGAACAATGGGTTCTCTTAATGACTGCTACAAAAAAAGATTGTAAAATTGGGTCAGTCACATAGGTGACCCATTTTATGACTATCAGACTTACAATAATGGGCAAGTTCCAGTATGGTGATAAGTCGAGGACTACCTGTACTTTGGCATCTGCATAAAATCTGAGGTATCGAAAATTCCAAACATGTAGGAAGATGTCCCCAGTGTCACCAAACATGAAGAAATTACGTGGGATGATCACATAGAAATCAAGTCATTTGGTTCCATTTAAAAACTTCTTCATTTGCTTATTGGAGAAATAGAAGAAGAAACCAAAAATAAAGATTATTTCTTGTGGCATTTGTTCTTTAAACTTCCAGAAGATTTTGAAATACAAAATTTAAATTATTTTTGTGATTTGTCTGTTATTATCATTTAACATATGATGAAAGCAGGACAAAGAGAAGTAATCATATACACACAATCCATGTAATTGTTCAAAAACAATTTTTACGGGGCTATGGCAGAGGCCTCATAACTGGATGTCCAATTTAGCTATCCAGGCAATCGCCTCTGGTGTTGCTTCATGTAAGTCTTCTAAGGAACCAGAGAATACACATCATGGGGAGTCTTGCACAATATGTTGAATATACGGAATGTTTAATTTGTCTGCCATGTGTAATTTACCTGTCATGTAGGTCTATTATGAACTTTAGAATAAATTCAGTGGATCATAAAACTCTAAAACTTTCCAGAGTTGGGTAAACAAAAATCTTAACTAGAGAAGGAATAATTGCTTGACTTGCCTGATTTATAGGAGTGTCCTTCCTGATCATGCTAGTTAAAACTGAATTCTGCTAGAGCTCAGCACTTCATGTCCAATCCTCTTTTTATCATGTGCATGGGATGCACTGAAAGTCTTTATTATTTTTTGTAAACAGACTTTTCAATAATTCCATTGTACCTTGATCCTACAGATTCAGGTGTTAGTCGCTAAAGCAGGATATCTGCCTTGAATTGATGCAACTCATATGGATTCTTACAGTAGATCTTTCAGTTATAGTAATCTTTACACATTGCACATGTGTAGATTCAATCAGTAGAACTGTCTCCATTAACTAGTCAGGGGGAGTAACAAAACTTGCATTATGATATCACAATGCAAACCTCGCAACTTGCATACTTATGTAAGATGGAAAGTAAATAGAAAGGAGTGGGATTGGCTTCACAACATCATAGCTTGCATATTGTCATTTTTTCATCATTGTGGCTTGTTGCAGAATCATATAACTAGCTGAATAGTGGCTGTAAATCACTGGAATGTCATAGGTTGGGAAAGGTCATGTGTCAATAGGTAGTATTGTTTCATCTCTGTTTGGCATGTAGTTGTCTGGTGCTTTTGGTGTTGATTAACAGCTGATGCCTCTTTATTTGAGTGTTAGTCAGTAGATGTGCATTAAAGCAGAATTCCCCAAACTTTCCGGCTTTGTGGGCCAGCGGGGAGGAGAGAAGAGGGAATGGATCTATGTGAGTGGCTGGCAAGCATGCATGTGCACGCAGCTCCATTTAGGTGAATGGTGGACAGTGCACCTGTTGCTCACACAAATGAAGCACACATGCACGTGCTTGCCCACCTCTCACGCAATCAATATTTATTGCACCAGCAAAACCGGGCTTAGAAACTTGACAAAACCATTATATTTTGTAAATCATTTTGAGTTTGCTATTTGATTTTCAGGTGTCAATGCTGCAAATATTGTATATTCTTGCTTTTGACAATATGCAGAATTGTCTGGTAAATATGGAGTTAATAAAGAGCAGAAGGGACGTTGGGGGTAAAGCCCGGGAAAGAAAGAGGAAGAAAACCTCTTTGACCTTCACACTAATTGGATAGTGTGAGATATGACGGCAAATTTAGAGAGGGAACTTGCTGATAATTTAACTGCTCAGAGAAAGAGAACTGAGATCCTAGCATCCCTCTGTTGTGCCTGTGCCGACATTTTGTAACAATAAAAGACTTTTAGGAAAATAAATGCCTGGAAGTTCTTTGGAATGTTTCATTAGCCGGAACCACAACATCAGGTTTGCTAAGATTGCTTTGAAGAGATTTTGTTGCTTTGTGGGCTATAGTGATGCCAGGAACTTGTAGCATTGCAATTGTGATTTCTGATATGTCTTTTTTTAATATATAGAAGGAGTGTGATGATTGTGCTGTAGTTGTATGGATCGACTCTTTTCTATGAGGTGTTGGAAAATGTTACACAAATATCCATTCCTGTTTTTTGGAATTCAAAATAGGATTGTGTACGTGTGAAGGAGGGAGCAATTTCAGACAGTGATTTCAAAAATTCTCTTTCAAATAAATAATATTTAACTTTCAATTAAATGATATTTAATTTAATACATTATTAATAATATTTTTATCTCTAGGACAAATCAGTTGGCTTATATGTAAAGATAAAAGAGTGGTAAGAGAAAATACTTTAATTTATTGATTGACAATGGGTCATCAAGCTGGATCTTAGCTAGATTTTATCCATAATGATCTGTCCCTAGCCTGATTTTTTGGTCTTGCAATGATTTTTGTGCATGATGCAATAATCTCTGCTGCCTCCACTATCATCTGAGGTGTTTCAGTCCTATGGCTGGGTTAGGATGGAAATGTGATTTTGCTTGAGATTCTTTTCCGTATTAATGGTTATTATTATAGTGTCTTCCTAAATTAATCATAACAGTGATATTTTATTTCTTTCATCATGGACCATACGCAAGGCAAAAAGAGCTTGATGTACGTTTAGACTATGAACTGTGTCCAGATGAACAAGTATTTATACAGAAAAGGAAGAAAATTGTAGCAGCTGCCATGAAAAGGGTTCTTTGCATGGACAATGATTTGCAAGATCATGAGGTATGTAAAACATAACCACTGCAATTCAGTATGGATAAATTAAGACTTTGTTTTCAATTAATTATCTAGACCTCTGGCAAACCCATGTATAGATGCGAGAGTTATGCAGATTTGGAAATAGGACGGAGAAGATTGATAAATGAATACATTCATAATTCATAATTCACAGTATATCTAGGGCCGTGATGGCGAACGTTTTAGAGAATGAGTGCCCCAAAACTTGCCCCACTCCCGCTCCACCCCATGCCCTCCCCCTGTCCCACCCCCACCCTGTCCCCCACCCTGCCTGCCGACAGGGCCACTCACCGCCTCCAGGGCCCACCGCAGATTACCCAGGCAGCCCAGCAGCCCAGCAGATTGCCCAGGCAGCCACGCCACAGATTGGCCACGCCTTATGCCCATGCCCCACAGCACCAACTGTGCGTGATGTGGCGTGAGGGCAGAGTCTTGTCCACGCTGCCTGGTTGCCATGTCCTTGGCTGCGCTGCTCCGTGTGTGCCACGCTCGGGAGTGATTCTCCTCCAGGGCGGCTACTGGTGAGGAGGGAGTCATGGGGGAGGCAAGGCTGGGGCAACGGCATGTGTGCCCACAGAGAGGGCTCTGAGTGCCGCCTCTGGCATGCGTGCCATAGGTTCGCCACCACTGATCTAGGTAACATTATTGCAACATATGGGCAGACTTAATCATAGTTTCAGCTAGGAAACTGTGAGTATCCTAGACTAAGCCAAGTCAAAGTACTTCCAAAAATTCCTGGAAGCCTGGCACTCAGACAAATCGGCCATCGAAAGGTAAAATGAAAATTTTTACTTCTTTGGGCTTTATTTGTTGAACAGGTGCCTGTGGTGGCTATCATGGCCACAGGAGGTGGAGCGCGGGCATTTACAGCTTTTCATGGCCATTTACTTGGTCTTCAGAAACTGAATCTCTTAGACTGCCTCACATACATTTCTGGATCTTCTGGCTCTTCTTGGTAAGAATGACACACACACACACACACACACACACACACACACACACATCCTTGTCACATATTCTGAGAAGAAGAGTTGCCTTATGGTGAGATGGATTGCAAATAAATGTAATAAATAAATAAAATAAATACGTTCATATTGGCTGTTCATATTGCACTCTTGCTAATAAGCATAGTCTTTTAAATGTCACTGTAATTTGATGAGAAAATGGAACTGATAGGCAAAATTTAGAATTTATTTAAAACATTTAAAATTTATTTAAAACATTCCTATTTAGAATTTATATTCCCATTTATATTCCTATATCTGCCCCTCCAATCAAAAGTTAAAGCAATACATAAAATTACATTAAAATACAAAACTAAATAGATTAAATATATTACATAGGCCAGGGACTGTCACAGAAAAGGCATGCTTCCTAACTCCCATCCAATGGTAATATTTAAATGAAGTATCCAACTTGGTAAATTTAAAAAAAAAACCAATCAAATTAAAACAAAAATCTGTTTACTTCCTGTATACAGAATAATGATGATATTATATGAGCATACATATGGGGCAGTTCTCATCCATTAAATTCACCAGTTGGCCTTGGGAAGGCTTCCAATAGATGAAAGTGTGATTTGGAGAAAAGGACACGATACCAGGATGAAATATCCAAATATACAGTAAATATATAAAGTGCATAACCAGGTTGGAGAGTTCTGTTCTTAATTTTGTTTTAAATTTGAACGCCTTTTGTCTAATCCAGGAACGACACATGATGATTCCTCCAAGCTGAGTTCTTTATTCTTTCATACCTATAGATAAAATCTTGCCAAAGTGAGCACTTTAATCTGCATGTACCATGTACTCTGTGAACTATTAGGGAGGGGTCATCTTCATCCTTTTTCTCTTAAGCATAAGATCTGGACTGAGTTGCCTCTTAGTCATCTGGAATGTATCCCCTCCCTCCTAGGGATCCACCTCCTTACTATATTCCAACACATGTTTCCTGTCTTCATGGTCTTTTCATATTTAAAAAACCATCTTTGGCAGATTGGCTATAATTTCCCATGATAGCTCAAAAACAGAGGATAACATTTACATGACTGAAAATTACTTTAAAAATTTTTTTTGGCTAACCTGGCAAAAACTTGTGTCTGGATTTCTTGGATAGGCTGAATTAATTGTTTATTTTCACTATTATTAAATATTTTTTCTAAATATTTTCTAAAAGTGTTTTGGCAGGAAAATCCTAAAAATTGCATCACAATTCTTCTTGTTCTTCTTCACAATTCTTCTTGTTCTTTTTTTTAAAACAGTTTTTAAATTAGCATGATGGTTATGTGTTTAAATATTAAATAATAGTAAATTATGTTAACAACCCTTAATATAATTTGGGAATTGTAAATCTCATTATCAAGCTGCATCTTTTTTGTAGGACACTTTCAAATCTGTATGAAGAACCTGATTGGTCACAAAAGGATCTTTTAGGACCAATTGCAGACGCTCGCAAAAACATGTCCAAATGCAAGCTGGACTGTTTTACATTAGACCACTTAAAAGAATACTGTGACATTCTGAAGCAGCGGCAAAAGGATGGCTACAAAACCTGCATTACTGATCTCTGGGGACTTTTCATTGACCAAGCATTAGGAAATGGGGTAATAGATGTGTCCATTTTGTTAAATGGTTCTGATAGAAAGCTGAATATACATGCTGGAAAATCAAAGCAATGCAAGCAACATCATAACAGTTTGAATGTGCACTGTACAAACCTGGTATGGGGCTGAGGGTGCCTGGGCTGATCCCATCCTCAAAAGTTTACATTCACATTATGCTTATATAATCTTCAGAATCACATTTTTTATTTCTAACACTCATCAAATCCTTTTAACAAGTACTGTGAATATTAATATGCATTCATTGATATGCTCACTTTCTGCCACTTTACCTCTTAAAACTTTCCTAAAAACCCAATACCGTAGAAAAGGGAACGCTGTAGATAGCTTATCGCAGGTTACAATTAATACATAGAAAAGGAAAAAGAATTGAGAGGGATACACAAATTAATATACACTGATGTTAACTTTTTTCATAACGAAGCTTTGAATTTACACAAGGACCATATGTAATATTTAGGGAAACTCTTTTAAGAATGAGAGAAGCCAACTTTTTTTTAGCTTTTATATGACTGCAAAAATGTGATTTGGGCAGCATATAATAAAAAACCAAAACACAATAGAAACCATGTCAAGAAATCACATAAACATATATTGCAGGTGGAGCTTGTCTACCACCTTGGCCCCAATGCCCAAGAGAACATCTACCTCATCAAACCTTCCTAAGAGTTAAGAGACAGAGGGCTGGTTTAATCTCAGGGGAGATAATAGCAAAACCACACCTCCCAAGTCCCAACAGATGACATTATTTTGAGGAAGTCACCAGGCCATGTCCCTTCCGTTGGACACCAGGCAATCAGGCAAATAAAATGGCAGATAATCACAGTGAGATGGAGAAGGAAAACTTAGTCCTTACTTAGAACTAGGTGAATGTGGACTTTAGTTTTTTCCAGTCTCTTTTCTGATGATATAATTGGGAGAAGATATATTACTAGAATTCCCCAACGATAGGGTATTTAGGATTCAAAAGGGGCAGTCAAAATATTATCAAAAATCTATCTTCTAAGAAGTAGTTTTTAGTTATTTTTAAATGAATTCTTTTAATACTATTAACCCCAACTAATGGGCTAAGAGGTGAAGGTGGCAATCTGAATATGTTAGATGGAACAGGGCCTACCATGTGGGAATGATGGGAGACAGGAAGAAGAGCCACAAACTAGACTACCATCATGTAAACGATAGCTCAGCTAATAGAAGGGGGAGTATGGGAAGCATTTCAGAAAAGACCCTTCTACGATTTCTAGAGAGGAGAGAAGAGAAACACTTTCAATCTTATAAGATTATGTCAACATAGCCTTACAATAAAAATAGAGTTACTCCTCATAGTTGTGCTTCTTGTATGGAACTGTTTTGCTTCTTGGGTGAGAAGCAAAACATTTTCAAAGGAAAAAAACAAGAAAGCCCAGTTGCCTTTTGGAAAAAGCACTTTTGGCACAACCATGAACTGGATGATTGAGAATCTCCATAGACATTCTTGTCTGAACTAGCTCAAAAGGCTAATACCATGCTATTCACGGGTGATATTTTACCACATATACTCCAAGTGGTCTGAAATTCTCCCAGCAGTTTGGGTAGAGTTCCCAATAAATAAAATATCAAAGAATTTTCTTTAAATGGTTTTCAGAGAAATTTTTGGTCAATTCTGTTCTTTTCAATGAACCCAGATGAAATGTGAAAGGGATAGAGAAACAATATGAGAATTTGTTCCAGAAATGAATCAATAATAATAATAATAATAACAACAACAACAATAGGAAAAATTATGAAATATCGTGACCTGACCATCAAAACTGCATGACTATGGATGAAACATTTAGCAGTGATACCCATTGTCATCGGGGCTCTGGGAACTATGTCCAAAAACTTTGCAAAATATTTTTTTAAAACTGCAGCTTCCTGCAATAATTCCAGCAATGGTACAAAAAACTGTGCTACGTGGCACATCTTACATTTTAAGGAGATACCTGGTTGATACCTAAGGTGCTGGCAGCAACCTGTGTCAACCATCAGTGCCAGTCAATTCGAATGTTCAGTTGACTGAGGTTCACATCTAATGAATAATAATAACTTGTTATATATGAGGAGAATGAAATTAAAATTAGGATTCTTCTTCTGATTCTTTCTAGTTCCAGTAGGATTAAATCTATGACATTTTTGTGGTTTGTTGTTGGTTTATTTTTGCAGAGATGTAGCAGCACACTTTCAGAGCAGAAGCATGCCCTGAATCATGGTCAGAATCCTCTACCAATGTATTTAGTCCTCAACACCAGGGACAAATATAGCCTTCAAGAATTTAAAGGTAGCATTACCCATATTGTTGATTATGATGCAATAATAATAAGGGGTCATTGATCTACCAGGATAGCCAAACATTTATTTCATTTTAATATTACCACAGTGGTGCTGTTTTTGGTCTAGACTACAGCCAACAAAGGAGTCTCAATTCCATTATATATATTATTCTTTTAAATGAATGGTGAACATTCTGCCCTGTTCCCTACTTCTTCCGCCTCTTTCCTCTTATGAGATCTTCTGAAGAAATGAAGATGTAATGCATTGCTGTAGCTTTCTCTTGCAAAGCTTCAAAAAGCAAGATATCTCTTTATTACTGCCTATTAAATTGGGGGAAAGGAAGAATAAAAAAAATGGAGTCAGAAAATGAGGAGAAAAAGATAAATATGTAAGAGGACCTGTGGAATGAGAGAAATTATGGAAGGACCACCCAAGTATCTATATTTTTTTTAGTCCTTTCAGCCATAACATGGTTGTACACACATTCCCAGAACATAGGATATTTTGAAAAATTGATTATTTTTCTCAGTTTGTTCCAGCCATTGGTTCATGGAAAGAGGAAGGGAATTAATGGATTTTGGGATTTTAGACAATTGCCAGTAGATCTCTGAGATGCTTAGAATATCTGAGTAAATTGGGTTTGACTCTAAGATTTTGAGGTTTTGGCAATTAAGAGAGATACAATTGTGAGCATGAAGGAGCAGCAGGAGGAAATCATTAATTTTCATCATTGTTCTCTCTAAGCTTTCAGTTATTGCAGGGGTTCTCAACCTTGGCAACTTTAAGACTTGTGGACTTCATCTCTCAGCAAAGCTGGCTGAGGAATTCTGGGAATTGAAGTCCACAAGTCTTAAAGTTGCCAAGGTTGAGAACCCCTGAGTTATTGCAATGATAATGGACAGTAGAACTATCTGATACAAAAAAAAAAAAAGACTTTGGAGAGCATCTGCAAATGTAAATCTCAACAGGAGAACAATGGACATTAATTCAAGAGCCAACATAAATACCATAGACTCTCGTGTAAACTAATAGGCAGGATTGTCACCTTCATTCTCTTGTGATTTTTGATTCCTGATGACCTGATGGATTAGAGGGGAACAAAAAACAGTGTGACGATTGATCCTGGGCACTTAATTATTGGTTGGTCTTTTCAGGGCTTTTCAACATTCCATTTCTCCCCATATATTTTTGTATACTTAGCTTGGTGGAAATACAGCAAAATTTAAATTTAAAAGGCTAATTTAGTTACATTCAACCATTTGCAAAATCACACTTTGCAAAGCCAGTGTTTCATTTGAATCTGTAACTCATATGATTTTGTTGTAGAGTGGATGGAATTCACTCCTTTTGAGGTTGGATTGTTAAAATACGGGGCCTACATTCGTGCTGAAGACTTTGGAAGCAAATTCTTCATGGGTCGGGTGATGAAGAAGATCCCAGAATCTCCAATCTGCTTTATGAAAGGTGCCTTTCAAGATCTTTATCTTTTTCTTTTTAAATATATACAACCTTCTGAAAAATAGTTTTCACAAGGCAGTTTACAACTTTCTTAAATAACATTTTGACTAATTAAAGATTAAAAATGTATTAGAGCAGGGGTGTCAAACTCAATTTCATTGAGGGCTGCATCAGCATTGTGGTTGCCCTCGGGGGGCCGAGTGGGTGTGGCCAGGGTGGATGCAGCCTACTGGGTGGGCATAGCCAGATCTACATTGTTCACGTCAAGGGTGCCTGTGGGGGCCTGGGCAGGAGTGGGACAGATCTGAGGGTCTCTGGCAGAAGGAGGTGGGACTGGGGCAAGCGCTAAGGCATGGTCCATTTCTTCATTCCTCACAAAAAGTGACACCTCCCCAGCGTGCACCCAGGAGGCGGGGCCGACATGGCAGGGGCTGGTTCCTCGCTGTTTCTAGACAGCCTTGTGGAGCTAAGACTGAATGCGTTTCAGCATAGATGGCCACCAAAAAAATTATACATTGGCTCCCAGCTGGCTTGGGCCAGGGCCAAGGCAGTGGGGGCCATTCCCTCACTGTTTCCAGGATGGCTTTGCAGGCCACATGAAACCAATTTGTGGGCTGCATCCGGCCCCTGGGCCTTGTGTTTGACATGTCTGTATTAGAGTTTCTAAACTACCCATACACATTACATGAAACAATGGCATTTCTTTTCAAAAATTCTGATTCCACTTGTCTGAAAGTTGCCAGAAACAAGGTTGAAAATAAAAATCAACAAGGCTGATTGTTTTCGATTGTAATCTAAAGCAAGGTTGGGGAGAGGGCATATGGTCCCCTAGAAAACATAGGATAATTCAAGGGAGTCACAGGAAAAAAACATGGAACAGGGAGGGGCACATTTTGAAGAGACACAGAAAAGCAAAAATCTGTATTGCTTTCTTGCTTTGTTGCTCATTCATTCAATCAATCAATCAATTTTGATAGCTGCCCATCTCAGTCGATAACTCTTGGTGGCTTACAATTATTACAAACATTGTCTTGCTGATGCCTGAAAACACACTATTTAATATCCCATGTCCATATCCAGCAATGGCACCTGGACAGGTAGAAAACAGAAGGAAAACAAGGTCAAAAGGGGGCCACAAGCAACAGAAGGTTGAGGAACACTGCACCAAAGCATTTTCAGTTTCTTCCAATGTTGTACCATAAATTTGACAAGTTGGCACTGTCGTCTGTGATTGTGAACAACAACAGATCACACTCAATAGTACAATAGCATCCTGCTTAAGGCAATTCTGTATATGTGCATTCCTTTTGTCCTTTTAATATGCTTTTAGGCAGGGCTTTTTTTTTTTTTTTGTCATAGAACACCCAGAACGGAATTCCAGCCCCTTTTTTGGATGGAACCTTGTAGGGCAGGCAAGGCAGGTTGTATGACATGTGTGAGTTCCAGCACCTTTTTTTTTAATTTACAAAAAAAGCACTGCTTTTAGGGAGAAAACATGAATGAACAGAAAATAACTTTCTTTTCCCTTGAGTCTGCCATTTTCAATTATGATAAAGATAAGTAAAGACTGCCTCCTTGTGGCAGTTAGGCTAGAATCTAAATTAGTCACAGGGCTGATTCACACAGTGTAGGTGCTATTTGCACCAGCTCAAGTAAGGACTACTGATTATTACTAGAGGCACCCCTTATCATCCTCTACTTTTACTCAGCCCATCATTTTTCTCACGTGGCCTCTTATGCAGTGTTGTCCTCTTCATCCACAATGCTTTACTTCAGCACCTCCACTCCAACGCTAGCTATTGTGCTCTGGAATAACTCCTCTTCTCTAGACCCTCCTTCATGGCCTTTTTTTTTTTTTTTTTTTTTTTACAAATTCAACAGCAAACAGTAAAAGCTGGACTTTTTTCCCTGTCCTCTCCCTCCTGCCAGGTTCATTGATGGACCTATGACAGCACACTTTTTAAAACTTCACCTTGGTTTCAGTTGAAATTGACCAGAATTCTGCTACTTTCCCATTCAAGCCTAAGTGATAGGAAAAAAATGAAATTTTCTCTTTCCTCCACTTTTATTAATTCAGAGAAAGTAAGGAAGCAGGAGAATCCTCCAATCAGGAACGCTGGTAAATATGCTCTGGACAGAAGATCAGGCCAGCACAGAGACCAAAATGAAGGAAGGGGTTTAAAACCAGAAAGGGATTTCTTAAGCCAACTTTATTTCTGGCATGTCTAAAAAGAGTGCAGAGAAGACTAATAAAGATGATTAGGGGACTGGAGGCTAAAACATATAAGGAACGGTTGCAGAAATTGGGTATGTGCAGTTTAATGAAAAGAAAGACTAGGAGGGACATGATAGCAGTGTTCCAATATCTCAGGAGCTGCCACAAAGAAGAGGGAGTCAAGCTATTCTCCAAAGTGCCTGAAGGCAGGACAAGAAGCAACAGGTGGAAACTTATCAAGGAAAGAACCAAACTAGAACTAAGGAGAAATTTCCTGACAGAACAATTAATCAGTGGAATGGCTTGCATCCAGAAGTTGCGGTTTGCCGGAAATATTATAGGATTTCCTACCTGAGCAGGGCGTTGGACTAGAACAGGTCTTTTCAACCTTTTCACCAATTGTACCACTTTTAGGATATTCAAGTACCACCAGTCGCTTAGCAAGGTGTCAAAAACTTGATGACCAAAAAAAAAAAAGGAAAAAAGTGAAAGTACAGGTAGTCCTCGACTTCCAACAGTTCACTTAATGACTGAAGTTACAACGGCACTGAAAAAAGTGACTTATGACCATTTTTCACATTTATGACCATTGCAGCATCCCCAGGGTCAAGTGATTTATATTTGCATGCTTGGCAACTGATTCATATTTATGATGGTCACAGTGTCCCAGGTTTATGTGATCCCCTTTTGCAACCTTTTGACAAGCGAAGTTGATGGGGAAACCAGATTCATTTAACAACTGTCTTACTAATTTAACAAGTGCAGTGATTCACTTAACAAATGTGGGCAACAAAAGTCATAAAATGGGACAAAACTCATTTAACAAATTTCTCACCCCTTCTCTTTTTATAGCCTTTCCTCTTCCCCCCTCCTCCTTTTCTATCCTCTCCTCTCCCCCCCCCTCGTCCTTTTATATCGGGTATCAAATTTGATTTCATTGAAGGTCGCATCAGCATTGTGGTTACTGTAGGGGGGGAGTGGGGCTGTGTGGCCATCTCTACTTCACTCAGGTCAAGGGGATACCTGTGGGGGGATCCGGGGATCTCCAGTTGAGGGGTTTAGGGTTAGGCTCCTTTCCTCCCTCTCTCCCTCCCTTCTTCCCATTCCCATCTCCTTCCTTCTCTTCTCTTCTCCCTTTCTCCTCACAGCTTCTCTCACAATAAGCCTTTTCTCTCTTTCTCACATACATAACTCTGCAAAATCCTTCCCATTCTTTCACACACACACGTTCCTCCAAATCCTCCCCATTCTCTCTCACACACATATTCCTCCAAATCCTTCCCAGTCTCTTACATACATTCCTCCAATATCGTCTCCATTCTTATGCACACATTCCTCCAAAATCCTTTCTTCTCTCCCTCTCTCTCTCTCCCTCTCTCTCTCTCTCTCCCTCCCCCCCTCTCTCTCTCTCTCTCTCTCTCTCTCTCTTTCTCTCTCACCACTTCTATGACAAAAGCCTTTTCTCTTCTGCCTCTTTCTCTGGAGTCTTTTCTTCTCTCCCTCTCCCGCCAAAACTGCCTCCTTTTATCGCCTCTCCTGTCTCCGCCCCCCTCCTCCTTTCTCTTCCGGGTGAGCCGAAAGTGCTGATCCTGGGGTCTTTGTCTCATCACAAGCAGCCCTGCAGCTCCTGAGAACTCTCTCAGGGCAAGTCGTGTGCTGTGCCGTTTTGGCTTGTTCCCTCCCCCGATACGTTTGGGTGGGCTGGGCTGGGCAGGCCATGTACCACCTGCCAGTTGCCAATGTACCACCAGTGGTATGCATACCACTGGTTGAAAAGCCCTGGACTAGAAGACCTCCAAGGTCCCTCCAACTCTATTGTTCTGTTATGCCAGGGCAACAAGCAGCTAAAGGCTGCATTGTGGAAAAGCCCACTCCATCATAGTTTCAGTCAGAGACCATTGTACTCAGCATGAACATAACTAAAAGAACATTAGTTGTTGTTGTTAATTGCGAAGTCGTGTCCGACCCATCGCGACCCCATGGACAATGTTCCTCCAGGTCTTCCTGTCCTCTACCATCTTCTAGAATCCATTTAAGTTCACACCTACTACTTCAGTGACTCCATCCAGCCATCTCATTTTCTATCATCCCATTCTTCTATTGCCCTCAATCTTTCCCAGCATTAGGCCCTTCTCCAGTGAGTCCTTCCTTCTCATTAGGTGGCCAAAGTATTTGAGTTTCAACTTCAGGATCTGACCTTCTAAAGAGCAGTCGGGGTTGATCTCTTCTAGGACTGACCGGTTTGAACGCCTTGCAGTCCAAGGGACTCGCAGGAGTCTTCTCCAGCACCATAGTTCAAAGGCCTCAATTCTTTGGCCTCAGCCTTTCTTATGGTCCAACTTTCACAGCCATACATTGCAACTGGGAAAACCATGGCCTGGACTATCCGCACTTTTGTTGGCAGGGTGATGTCTCTGCTTTTTAGAATGCTGTCTAGATTTGCCATAGCTTTCTCCCCAGGAGCAAGCGTCTTTTAATTTCTTGGCTGCAGTCCCCATCTGAGGTGATCTTGGAGCCCAGAAAAATAAAATCTGTCACTACCTCCATTTCTTCCCCATCTATTTGCCAGGAATTGAGAGGGCCAGATGCCATGATTTTGGTTTTCTTAATGTTGAGTTTCAAGCCAACTTTTGCACTCCCCTTCTTCACCCACATCAAGAGGCTCTTTAGTTCCTCTTCACTTTCTGCCATTAGAGTGGTATCATCTGCATATCTTAGGTTGTTGATATTTCTCCTGGCAATCTTAATTCCAACTTTTGATTCATCTAGCCCTGCCTTTTTCATGATGTGCTCTGCATATAAGTTAAATAGGCAGGGCGACAGTATACAGCCTTGCCGGACTCCTTTTCCAATTTTGAACCAATCAGTGGTTCCGTGTTCGGTTCTCACTGTTGCTTCTTGACCCACATATAGGTTTCTCAAGAGACAAATGAGATGGTCTGGTACTCCCATCTCTTTAAGAACTTGCCACAATGATGATCCACACAATCAAAGGCTTTAGCATAGTCAATGTGTTATGATCCACACAATCAAAGGCTTTAGCATAGTCAATGAAGCAGAAGTAGATGTTTTTCTGGAACTCCCTAGCTTTCTCCATGATCCAGCGTATGTTGGCAATTTGATCTCTAGTTCCTCTGCCTCTTCGAAATCCTGCCTGTACTTCTGGTAGTTCTTGATCCACATACTGCTGGAGTCTAGCTTGTAGGATTTTAAGCATAACTTTACTAGCATGTGAAATGAGTGCAATGGTGCGATAGTTTGAACATTCTTTGGCATTGCCTTTCTTTGGAATTGGAATGTAAACTGACCTTTTCCAATCCCGTGGCCACTGTTGAGTTTTCCAAATTTGTTGGCAAATTGAGTGTAGCACTTTTACTACAACGTCTTTTAAGATTTTGAATAGCTCAGCTGGAATACTGTCACCTCCACTAACTTTGTTGTTGCTCAGATTTTCTAAGGCCCATTTCACTTCACATTCTAGGATGTCTGGTTTGAGGTCAGTGACCATTTCATTGTGGTTATCTGGGACATTAAGCTCATTCTTGTATAGTTCTTCTGTGTAGTTTTGCCATCTCTTCTTAATCTCTTCTGCCTCTGTTAGGTCCCTGCCATTTTGGTCCTTTATAGTACAATGGTATAAACATAAATGTTATAAAAATGTACTGCTTAAAACTCACCCAGTTATTTCCCTTTTATATCCTTTATCAAAGCATATATTCACCTTATTCTTGAGTAAAAATTTCTTACATTATTTGTAATTAAATTCTTTTGATTAGATAGGAAAAACAGTGGCAGTGTATGTGTGGGGTGTATGTATGTTGTTCCATTAACAAATCTCTTCCTTAAAAATAATGTATCTTTTTTGAAAGCCTGTGTACCACGGGATAGAGCCAGGACTACTCATTAAAATATTGTGGAGCAGGTGCTGCTAGTGAATAGCCCTGGGAGAGAGAAATTAGCAGAAATTGAAAAGTTTGGAAACTTTTTCCCCAATGCTTGTAAATAGACTTGTACATAGTAAAACAAATTCCCCATCATCTCTGTTTCTGTGAAGCAATTGTCCTCCTTTAAAGACGCACCCACACTGAGGTATGAAATAGCTTGAGGCCCTGCTATGAAAGCATCTAAAGGTTGTCTAGCTTAGAGCTGTTCTGTTTTTTTAACTTTCTCCTTAAAATTTTTGATTTTGTTGAAGATTTAAAAATTGACTTCATGAACCAACAATACTGAAGAGGAACATATTTATTCTGTTGCTCTGATTATTAATATGGATTATGTTACTCTAGGCAGTTTCACAATGGTTTTAGCATTATCAATACTTTAATTATTATATATGCTGTTAGATACTTCCAGTTCAGAGAATCAGACTGATGTAATGGTTAAGACACCAGGTTAGAATTCACGAGACTGTGGATTCTAGTCCTGGCTTAGGCATGAAGCCAACTGGGTGACCTGGAGTCAGCCACTCTCTCTCTCATCCCTGGGAAAGAGGCAATGGCAAACCACTTACGACAATGGCAAACTACCATTTTCTTTTGCCAAAAAAACTGAAAGGACTTCTCCAATGGATTTGCCAGGAGCCAGTAATGACTCAAAGGCACAACACTTTTAGTTCATTACTGAAATCAACTAAATGGAGGATCAGGCTGTTCTTGAAAACTACCACAAGAAAAGGGCTGAAACATTTTTATCGTCTTCCAAATCTGTTGAAAATATTCTTTGATTCCTCTTAAATCAGAATAATATATTACTATTGTCCAATGATGGTTACATTCTATTTTATGGAAGCTTATACTTTAACTGATATGAATGTTTGAGATGCCACAAACCTCTGATTTGCTTGTTTGTACAGACCAGTTTCTGGCATGTCCACGGACCGGGGGTTGGGGCCCCTTGATGTATACAGTTCAGAACTATAATTGAAAATCTTACTAACTCTTGATCTTTCTTTAGGTATATGGAGTAATGTGTTTTCCTTTAACCTCTTGGATGCCTGGCAAGGAATTGACAGTTCAGAAGACAGTTTTTGGTATAGCTATACCCAGGACAAAATAAAGCAAATAGGTTAGTAAAATACAAGTCACTTTAAATTTGATTATGGATTTTAATTATTTAGTTTATACAATAACTTTCTAAGCTTGAGTATCAATTCTAGTGATAAAATCCTGGGTGTAGATTTCCATTAAGTTAATTCAAAGCAGCTATACTATTGTAAAAATGTTAATTCTAAAATGTAATGAAAAAGACCAATTAAACCACTGCAGCAAATTACATACGAGAACTTAACTGGTCTTTGCTATGTTTTCTTTTATTGAACTTCAAATGTTTAACAGTTTAGGTTTACAACTACAGTAGTCTTTCTCAAAATATGATGTAGATTGTTAATAGATATGGGCATAAATAATAATAATAATAATAATAATAATAATAATAATAATAATAATAATAATAACAACAACAACAACAACAACCAGGGGGAGTTGGCAGTGAGGGAATAGAGATATACAACTGTTCTCATTTGGAAACCAGGCACCTCTACCTCAGGAAGAACAAAACCCTCTAACTAAAGAAATAAAAGAATTGAAACAAAGAATAACTGAGCATCTAGAACAGCACAAAAACAACAGAATAAGGCTACCTGCATTGAAGCTTGTTCCAAAGAAACAGCTAGCACAAGCATTAAAAGATGCAAATATTGCAATATCAAGTATAAGCACCAATTCACTGCAAGAAACAAACCAACTAATGTACAGCACAGCTGCAGTTATAACAGAATACCTGGGATGCAAAATCAACAAAAAAGAAAAACAAACAAACAGTGCACCAGAAAAATGGAAGGTTAGACTAGAAAATAAGATCAGCAAGTTAAGATCACATGCAAGCAAGCTAGAACAGATGAAAGAAAAGAAGCTGAAGAACAAGAAGACCAAAGAATACCTAATCAAGAAATACCACTTAGAAACAAGGAAGATCAAGGAAGCACTGGAAATAATAAAGCAACAAATAACAGCTATAGCCAGGAAAATCAGTAGATATGAAGCTCGAATTGCAAACTATAGGCAGAACCTCCAATTTCAATCCAATCAGAAACGTTTCTACCAATCCATCAATGGAGAAACTGCAAGGAATCAGGCAGTACCTGACAAGGAAGAAACAGTGCAGTTCTGGAAGCAGATATGGGATAACCCAAAGAAATACAACAAGGATGCGGCTTGGTTAAAAGAGGTGGATGCAAATAAAACAGAAGTTGAAATGAAAGAACTAGCAATAACAACAAAAATGGTAGAAAAAAGAGCAAAGAAAATCAAAAATTGGTCAGCACCAGGTGAAGATGAACTGCATGGGTTTTGGTTGAAACATCTAACTGTTATACACCCACTCATTGCCAAACAGTTCAACAATATACTACAAGGAGGAGAAATTGAAAAGTGGCTAACAACTGGGAAAACCTACCTAATAATGAAAAATCCAGCAAAAGGGGCAACACCAGGTAACTACAGGCCAATTACCTGCTTACCAACAACTTTCAAATTACTAACTGGTGTAGTAGCTGATGCAGTGCAACAGCATCTAGTTGAAAACAATCTCTTTCCACCTGAGCAGAAAGGAAACCGCCCCAATAGCAGAGGAACAAAAGATCAACTCCTAATAGACAAAATGATCTTGGAAAACTGCAAGAGAAGGAAGACCAACTTGAATGTGGCATGGATTGACTACAAAAAGGCATTTGACTCTCTGCCACATGATTGGATAATAAAGTGCCTAGAAATAACAGGAGTCAGTAGAAACATCAGAAAATTTGTGCAAAGATCGATGGCACAATGGAAGACACAGTTGCAGATCAATGGTGAGAGGCTGGGAGAGGTTAATATCAAGAGAGGAATATTTCAAGGAGATTCATTATCACCATTACTATTTGTTATTGCACTGTTTCCTCTGTCAACAATACTGAATAACTCAGGACATGGCTATCAAACATCAAAAACATCTGCCAGACTATCCCATCTCCTTTATATGGATGACCTGAAGCTGTACGGAAAAACATCATCTGAAATAGAATCGCTGCTCAACACTGTCCGTATATATAGCCAAGATATTGTTATGGAGTTTGGCTTGGACAAATGTGCCACACTTACTATCAAACAAGGAAAAATAGTGAAAACTGAAGGAATCAAGATGCCCCACGAAAATAACATTAAGAGTCTGGATGAGGAAGAGTACTACAAATACTTGGGTATCCTTCAAGCTGACAACATCAAGCACACTGAAGTCAAGAAAAAGATTAGAGGTGAATACATCAAGAGAGTGAAGAAGATCTTAAAATCCAAACTCAATGGAGGAAATACCATAAAGGCAATCAACACCTGGGCAATCCCAGTCATTAGGTACACAGCTGGAATAGTGGACTGGACTCAAGCAGAACTAAAAGCAATGGATAGGCAGACCAGAAAAATAATGACAATGAATCATGCCCTTCATCCACGCAGTGACATTGACAGACTTTATCTACCAAGGCAAATAGGTGGGCGTGGAATGCTACAAGTACATCAGATGGTTGAAGAAGAAAAACTGGCTTTGGAAGAATATCTGAAGAACAATGATGAAGATGCACTGAAATTAGTATATCAGGAAGGCTTACTGACTACTGGAGAGACCAAACTGGCCTACAAGAAAGACCAAATGAAGAACAGAATAGAGGCATGGGAAGACAAAGCACTACATGGCCAATACATTAAAAAAATAGCTGGGAAAGCAGATAATAAAAAGACCTGGCAATGGCTAAGAGCAGGAAAATTGAAGAAAGAGACCGAGGGACTAATTCTGGCTGCACAAGACCAAGCCTTAAGGACAAATGCATACAAAGTCAAAATTGAGAAGACAGCAACAGACAGTAAGTGCCGCCTATGCAAAGAAGCTGAAGAAACAGTGGACCACTGGTAAGCTGTTGCAAGAAGATTGCACAACTGACTACAAGCAGCAGCATGACAAAGTAGCAACAATGGTGCATTGGAAGATCTGCAAAAAATATCATTTGCCTGTAAGCAAAAACTGGTGGGATCATAAAATAGAGAAAGTCATAGAAAATGATAAAATTAAACTGCTCTGGGACTTCAGAATTCAAACAGACAAGCACCTGCAACATAACACCCCAGACTTAACAATTGTCGATAAGAAAGACAAAAAAGTCTGGATAGTGGACGTGGCAGTGCCTGGAGATAGCAGAATAGAAGAGAAAGAACTGGAGAAGATAACAAAATACAAAGACCTACAAATAGAAATAGAAAGACTGTGGCAAAAGCAAGCAAGGGTAGTACCAATAGTCATAGGCTCCTTGGGTGCAATCCCAAAACAACTGGAGCACCACTTGAACACCATTGGCATTGACAAATTCGCTATTAGTCAATTGCAAAAGGCGGCCTTATTAGGAACTGCTTCCATCCTGCGACGATATCTGTAATACCATCAAACATCCACATCTGCCTATCCCAGGTCCTGGGTAAGGACTCGATAGGTAGACAAAATGCCAAATCCAGTCTGAACATCTGGCTGACTGTGCGATGATCGATAATAATAATAATAGTAATACACTTACTATCAAACAAGGAAAAGTAGTGAAAACTGAAGGAATCAAGATGCCCCATGAAAATAACATTAAGAGTCTGGATGAGGAAGATTAGTACAAATATTTGGGTATCCTTCAAGCTGACAACATCAAGCACACTGAAGTCAAGAAAAAGATTAGAGGTGAATACATCAAGGGAGTGAAGAAGATCTTAAAGTCCAAACTCAATGGAGGAAATACCATAAAGGCAATAAACACCTGGGCAATTCCAGTCATTAGGTTCACAGCTGGAATAGTGAACTGGACTCAAGCAGAACTAAAAGCAATGGATAGGCAGACCAGAAAAATAATGACAATGAATCATGCCCTTCATCCATGCAGTGACATTGACAGACTTTATCTCCCAAGGCAAATTGGTGGGTGTGGAATGCTACAAGTATATCAGATGGTTGAAGAAGAAAAAATGGCTTTGGAAGAATATCTGAAGAACAGTGATGAAGATGCACTGAAATTAGTATATCAGGAAGGCTTACTGACTACTGGAGAGACCAAACTGGCCTACAAGAAAGAACAAATGAAGAACAGAAGAGAGGCATGGGAAGACAAAGCACTACATGGCCAATACATTAAAAAAATAGCTGGGAAAGCAGATAATAACAAGACCTGGCATGGCTAAGAGCAGGAAAATTGAAGAAAGAGACCGAGGGACTAATTCTGGCTGCACAAGACCAAGCCTTAAGGACAAATGCATATAAAGTCAAAATTGAGAAGACAGCAACAGACAGTAAGTGCCGCCTATGCAAAGAAGCTGAAGAAACAGTGGACCACCTGGTAAGCTGTTGCAAGAAGATTGCACAGGCTGACTACAAGCAGCGGCATGACAAAGTAGCAACAATGGTGCATTGGAAGATCTGCAAAAAATATCATTTGCCTGTAAGCAAAAACTGGTGGGATCATAAAATAGAGAAAGTCATAGAAAATGATAAAATTAAACTGCTCTGGGACTTCAGAATTCAAACAGACAAGCACCTGCAACATAACACCCCAGACTTAACAATTGTCGATAAGAAAGACAAAAAGTCTGGATAGTGGACGTGGCAGTGCCTGGAGACAGCAGAATAGAAGAGAAAGAACTGGAGAAGATAACAAAATACAAAGACCTACAAATAGAAATAGAAAGACTGTGGCAAAAGCAAGCAAGGGTAGTACCAATAGTAATAGGCTCCTTGGGTGCAATCCCAAAACAACTGGAGCACCACTTGAACACCATTGACATTGACAAATTCGCTATTAGTCAATTGCAAAAGGCAGCCTTACTAGGAACTGCTTCCATCCTGCGACGATATCTGTAATACCATCAAACATCCACATCTGCCTATCCCAGGTCCTGGGTAAGGACTCGATAGGTAGACAAAATGCCAAATCCAGTCTGAACATCTGGCTGACTGTGCGATGATCCATCATCATCATCATCATCATCATCATCATCATCAGGTTGAAAGAGACCTTGGAAGTCATTGAGTCCAGCCACCTGCTCAAGCAGGAAATCCTATACCATTTCAGACAAATGGCTATCCAGTCTCTTCTTTAAAACTTCCAGTGTTGGAGAATTCACCGCTTCTGGAGGCAGGTTGTTTCATTGGTTCTAACTGTCAGGAAGTTTCTCCTTAGTTCTAAGTTGCTTCTCTCCTTGATCAGTTTCCATCCGTTGCTTCTCGTCCTGCCTTCAGATGCCTTGGAGAATAGCTTGACTCCCTCTTCTTTGTGGCAGTCCCTGAGATAGTGGAACACTGCTATCATGTCCCCCCTCATCCTTCTCTTCGTTAAACTAGACATACCAATTCCAGCAACCATTCCTTATATGTTTTAGCCTCCAGTCCCCTAATCATCTTTGTTGCTCTTCTCTGTACTCTTTCTAGAGTCTCAGCATCTTTTTTACATTGTGGTGACCAAAACTGGATGCAGTATTCCAAGTGTGACTTTACTAATGCATTGTAAAGTGGTATTAATACTTCACGTGATCTTGATTCTATCCCTCTGTTAATGCAGCCCACCACTGGGTTGGCTTTTTTGACAGCTGCAGCACTTTGCTGGCTCATATTTAAGTGATTTCCACTAGATCCCAGATCCCTCTCACATTTACTACTATTGAGCAAGGTACCCCCTATACTATACCTGTACATTTGGTTTTTCTACATCTCATTCGTATTTCAGAATGTCACTGAAAGAATGAAAAAGTTAATAGCTGTACCCCAAAGGGCAATGTTTCCTGGCCTTGGCAACTTTCAGCTGTGTAGAGTTCCCTCCCAGAATTTCCCAGTTACCATGCTGGCAGAAGAATTCTGAGAGTTGAAGTGCACACACTTTAAAGTTATCAAGATTGAGAAATGCTACTATAGAATAATGACAAATAATGACAACTGAAAAATAATAGATTTAAGCTAGCAATTAAAGATTAATAAACATGCCTTAACCTCCTCCTTTATCTGACCAAATTCTAATCTCAAAATTGCATTAGATATGCGTTTTGGAACTTGAAACACCATTCTTATAAACTTAGTTTGGATAGTTTCCCTCTGTGTATTGTTTAGAAAGGAGCCTAGCTGGGAAACATGGAACACCTGAGCCAGTGATTTGGCTGTGAATAATTTGAGAAGTATAAGGGATACATTCTCCACCTCTAGTGCGGAAGAATCTTAAGACAGCTGAAGAAGGAATTTTTTTTTGAGTCTGTGCATCCTCTATGTTGATGTGTGAGTTCCATTTACTTGAGTTTTAAAAGGCAATCTAAATATTTGAAAAGTCTCACCTACACAATTTTTGCCCTTCTAATGCCTAGTGAAACTTACTGAATATTTTTTTTTATAGCAGAGACCATTATTTTGGTCTTGTGGAAGTTTAGAACAAGGTGATGTTCATTGCAATAGCACACAAGACTTTTGACTGTGCACCAAAAACCATTGGGGGTCCTTGAAACAATGGCTATGTCACCTGCATAAAACAGAAGTAGAACATACATTTCTGTTATTCCAAGCAGATGGAAGTTTGGATCAAAAATTCTTTTGCTATTAGTTGACCCATAAGTAAAACAGTGTGTGTGTGTGTGTGTGTGTGTGTGTGTGTGTGTGTGTGTGTGTGTTAAAATGCATCCATGCCTGATTCTACTGTGCACGGAGATTAAGTCTGAAATTAGACTCCTGTGGATTGAATCTTACTTTGATTCACAAGAATAGTGTCTTGATACAATTCATGGATTAGGAACAATAGCATCAGTCGATGTCCAGTCCCCTTAGTTTTTCCCATAGAAAGGGTCTTGAGCTAGAGTCCAATGCTGAATTGAAGATGGCAAAAGCCACATAAAGAGAAACACAAGATTGTCTACTGCAGGGGTGGCCAACCTATGGCACATGTACCAGAGGCGGCACTCAGAGCCCTCTTTGTTGGCACATGTGCTGCTGCCGCCACCAGCAGGTCCATCAGGCCGCCACCACTGCCCAGAGCAGGCGCCCTGCCCAGCACAAAGGAGGTGAAGCGGCTGACTAGCAAGCTTGAGTAGAGGTGGTAAAGCAGAGGTCACCAACTATTGTCAATTGGTTGACTGGAAGAAAAGGGAGGGGGAAGCATTTTACATGCATACATGCGCGCACGAGGCTGCAAGCACACACAAACTGCAAATGGGGCAAGGCTAGGGCCTGCATGATGCTCATTGCCCCATTCTTGCGTGGTGCAGTGCTTTGCATCTGCACCCCGCGGTGCAGCAGCAGCCGTTTTTGCTCCTTGCAGCATGGTGGCCCATTTTTGCACCCCCTGCTTTTTGCATGCCAGAGGCGGCACTCAGAGGTGCCTCCCTGTCCCCCCTTGAGGGCACCACAATGCTGATATGGCTCTGGCACTTTGTAAAAAATAAGTGGGTTTTGGGTTGCAATTTGGGCACTCAGTCTTTAAAAGGTTCGCCATCACTGGTGTACTGTATTTCTCAATCAGTATAATCAATATCATTATACAAGGATGAGGTCTAATGTCAACTAGCCAGCTCTATATCATGCCTGATTACACCCAAAAAAGCTTTATTCACCAGCCATGTGGACAACTGCAGGAGTTTTATTCCACATACAGTCAGAGAATAACCTAACTATTATATTAATTCTATATTAATAAGCATATGAAAAGAATATCTGTGCTGCATTTATGTATATGTATGTCTGTACCTATGTTTGTAAGTATGTATATTTATATGTATATATATGTATATATGAAAAAATATACATACACACATACACACATACAATCTCTCTCTCCCTTCTTCCCTCCCTCTCCCCACTCCCCCCATATAGGGTATACCAAAAATTGAGCTCCATAGGCCAATCACAATATGTTTTATTCTTTTTTTTCACAGAAACTGCTACTGAATTCAGAATTGTTCAAAGGTCAAGTAACAAGAGTGTTTAGAAGAAAATGGAAACCAATTCAAAACATTTTTAATATACAGAAATGCATATAATAAATGTTCTAAGGGGCTTGGTCTTTGGTACACTTTGAAATGATATAATCAATGCCGAAAATTTTGCAATATACATTAGTCTATCTTTTCCTCTTAGTCTTTGCTTCTCTAAATTAACTTATGTATATTCTATTCTTCAGAAGAAAAACCACCTCTTCCACCAGTAGCTGAAACAGTGAATACTTATCTGGTCACGCCTAGACATATGATTATGAAGATAATTCGCAAAGTCATAACAGAGCGTGTATCAACATCAGAAGTCTACAATTTCTTAAATGGATTCCAATTAAACAATGGATATCTAGAGAATAAAAATTTTTCTATATGGAAAGGTACATGGTAAATGCTAAGAAAATATGTATCAGTTTGTTCATTAACATGATGGCTGACTTGATTTTTTAAAAATGCAAGTGTTTATCCAAAAATATACTTAGTAAGTTGTCCAAAATTGGACATCTCTCTCTCTTGAAAATAGCAATTGTCATATAAACTACACTGGTTGGATTCTTCAAGCCAAACGAATTACATTAACAGCTTTGCACAATATGTGAACCTAGCTGCCAAAATGAAGCATTTGAAGTCCAAAGTAACAAAGAGTGGAATGAGTTCATAATCTGGCTCAGATATGTTACTGGAATATGATTTGGATAATTCTAATTCCACAATATTTTAAATGAACAATAAAATAATGTTGCTAAAGGTATTTGCAAGAACTGAAGAATATCACATACCAATGGGTAAGATTTTTAAGGAGTATTTTTTTTATTGAAAATTTTTAAAGGTTTTACAAATATACAACCAAAAACAAATCAACCCTCACCCCATCCCTCCCAAGCCCACCCCTCCCTCCCCCCTCCCCGAACTTCCCAGAACTGAATATAGGCTTATCTAAAATTTTAAAATATCTAAACCAATTTTACATCTTATAATAATAAAATATATGTAAGCATTAATAAAAAAAAATACTTAAAAAAGAAAAAAGAAAGAAAGGAAAGAGAGAGAGAAAGAGAAAAAAAAAGATAAAAAAGAAAAAACAAAAGACGGAAAAAGAAAAGAAAAAACAATCTATACAAGTTATAAGAAAGCTAAATGATATTTTTCCATATCCAAATTATATTGTATAAAATTTATCCATTTTTCCCATACAACAAAAAATGTCTCTTGAGATTGCTCCTTTAAGAAAGCCGAAATCTAAATTTCTGCTTATTTAAAGGATCATACACAAGAAAGATATATTACTGTATGGGGAAGGTGGATAGATTATATTCAGAAAAAATATGGAATTAAAAAGTTTTATTTATTTTATGAATGAATATCAAATATTATAGAGAATTGTTTTATAAGTTATGGAGTTAAAGGTTAATTATGATATTTTTTTTTCTTTCTCTTTTTTTTTTCTTTTTTTTAATTATTATAATTTTCTTTTTCTTTTTTTTTCTTAACCCTGTATTCTGCTCTGGGAAGTGAAGGGAGGGGGGGTGGGGGTGGGAGGGAGGGTAAGGGGGGGGGTTCTCTATTTTAAAATTTTATTGTATTTTTATAAATGATTGTATGTTTTAAAAAATAAAAATTTTCAATAAAAAAAAAAGAAAGCCGAAATCTTTGCCATTTCCGCCAAATAGGAAACTTTATAAAACCACTCTTGCAAAGTAGGCAAAGATTCCTTCTTCCAATATTGTCCTACTAGCAGCCTTGCGGCTGTGATCAAATTTAACATCAATATAACTCCCTTAGCATCACAGTCAGTAACAATACCTAATAAAAATAATTGCGGGGTAAATTTTACCCTCCTTCTAAAAATTCTTTGAATATTCCACCATATCTTAATCCAAAAAGCTTTTATATTTTTACACGACCACCAGATATGATAATAAGTAGCATCCAAACAACCACATCTCCAACATTTAGGCTGTAGATCATAATAGACATTTTTTGTGGATCAAGGTGCCATCTATAAAACATTTTATAAAAATTCTCTGTTAAGTTCTGTGCTTGTGTAAATTTAACATTCCTCACCAGATAAGTTCCCAAGTATCCAATGGGATTGGTTCACCAATATTTTGTGCCCATTTAATCATACAATCTTTGATTAATTCGGATTCTGAATCCTTTTCTACTAAAACCCCATAAACCCTCTTAATATGAGTTGGTCTTTGATCCCTTACTTGTTTAAACAAATTTTCATCTTCTCTAAGCCAACCCATATTACGATCCATCTGCCATCTATCCACTATTTGTCTATATTGAAACCATGAGTAAGTAATATTTTCATGAACTAAATCTTCCAAAGATTTTAACTGCCAATTTTGACCATCCCATCTAAGTATTGTATATAAGAAACCATATCCATCTTAACTCCTCTCTTTATCCCTTCTATCGCATGCCAAGGTATAGCCCATAATGGTATTTTAAAATCACTTTTGTAATATTTCCTCCAAACCCGAAGTAAAGAAATCCTTATAATATGAGATTTAAAGACCCGGTCCACTTTTTTATTAAATATTAAATAGGCATGCCATCCAAAAAGTAAATCCCAACCCTCTAGGTGGAGTATTTCTACATTTGTTAAATTTACCCAATCACTAATTAATGTTAAGACCACAGCATCATAGTATAATTTCAAATTTGGTACCTTGAGTCCACCTCTCTCACGAAAATCTTGCATAATTTTAAGTTTTACCCTCGGTTTTTTCCCTGCCCAAATAAATTTATTAATACCCTTCTGCCATTCATTTAAATTAAGTTCATTCTTTAAGATAGGTAACATTTGAAACAAAAAAAGAAATTTTGGTAAAACATTCATTTTAATAACTGCAATTCTACCCATAAGAGATAACTGTAAGTTATTCCAATTCTTTAAATCCTTCTGTACCCGAATCCACAACTTTTCATAATTATTTTTATACAATTTTACATTAGAAGCAGATAATATAACCCCCAAATATTTTACCTTATCAACAACTTCAAAATCTGTTAAATTAACCAAGGTCTGTTTATCACAGTTAGTCATATTTTTAGGTAATATTTTAGTCTTATTATTATTAATTTTAAAGCCCGATACACACCCATATTGATGAATCAATTGTAATAATTTTACTACCGAGTGAGTAGGTTGAGACAAAGTCACAACCAGGTCATCTGCAAAAGCTCTTAACTTATATTCTTTTTTATTAATCTCTATTCCTTTAATTTCTTGAGACTCCCGAATTTTAATCAACAAAATTTCCAATGTTAAAACAAATAATAACGGAGATAATGGACATCCCTGTCTTGTACCTTTTTCTATTGTAAAAACCTCTGACAAACCCCCATTAACAATAAGTTGAGCAGTCTGTTTTTGATATATATTAGATAAAGCTTGTAATATATTTTGTCCAAAATTCATCTCCTTAATTAAACATAACATAAACTGCCAATTCAATTGATCAAAGGCTTTTTCGGCATCCAAAAATATCAGCCCTGCAGAAACTTGGTTGTTTTTATCTAAATATTCTAATAAGTTAATAATTTGTCTAACATTATTTTTCATATACCTTCCAGTTATAAAACCCGATTGATCCTTGTGTATAAGCTGCTACAAGACCCTCATAAACCTATTAGCTATAATTTTTGCAAAGATTTTATAATCCACATTTAAAAGAGATATAGGCCTATAATTCTTAGGCAAAGTGAGATCTTGATCCTCTTTTGGAATCAAAGATATAAAAGCGTTGCGCCATGACGGAGGGATCTCTAAACCCTGTAATATATTATTAAAAAGCTCACATAAAGGTTGAATCATCTCTTCTACTAAAGTTTTATAGTAAATAGATGTCAGACCATCCGTACCCGGCGCTTTACCTAATTTTAATTGCTTAATAGCTGTCACAATTTCCTCCTTGGTAATTAAACCATTAATCTCTTTTTTCTGATCTTCTGTTAATTTAGGAAGATTAGCTTTGCTTAGATAATTCTTTATATCTATAGTTTGTACATTAGTACTCTTATATAATTTTTGATAATAATCTAAAAAAGATTTCTTAATCAATTCTTTCTGATAAACCAATTTACCCTTATAATTTATTTTATCTATAGCTCTCTGTCTCTGTTTCTTTCTTAACTGATAAGCAAGCCATCTCCCTGGTTTATTAGCATTACAAAATGTATTTTGTTTCATAAACATTAAATTAGTTGCAGCTTGATCAGCCATCAGCATGTTAAATTGTGTTTTTAACAATTTTATAGCTCCTTTCACCTTTTCATCTAAAGGATTTGAAATTAAAAGCTTCTCTTTTAATTTAATCTCATCTTCCAATTCTTTACGTTTCCGAATCTGCTTTTGTCTATGAAAATTATTCATTTTTATCAGAATCCCACACATAAAAGCTTTGCTTGCATCCCATACCATTGATATTGATGTTCCCTTATACATATTTAAAACAAAATAGTCCTTTAAGCATTCCTTTAATTTTTGAACATTTTTTTCTTGTTTAAATAAATTCTCATTCAACCTCCAGGATCTCCTCTCCTCTTTCTCAGCAACCAGTTCCATCCAAACTGGACTATGATCTGTCAATGACCTAGGAAATTTTTTTTACATTCTTCACCCTATTATATAAGTCTGTTGTAGTCAAGAAGAAATCAATCCTTGAGAAAGATTGGTGTCTATCTGAGAAGAAGGTAAAGTCTCTTTCCTCCTGATTACGTTCACACCAACAGTCTCTCAATTCCCAATCTTCTTTCAAATCAAAAAAAGCTTTAGGTAGTTTAGCCTGTTTAAAGAGGGTAGAAAAACCTTTTTTGTCTTTCTGTGTATCTAGAACACCATTCTAGTCTCCCATTAATATCACTGACCTATAATCCAACAAGGTTATTTTCTGATGTAACAACCTATAAAATTGTTCCTGCTGCTGGTTTGGTGCATACAATCCCACTATTAGTATTTTCTTACCATATAGGCCAAGTTCAATCATAACATATCTTCCTTGAGGATCTGATTCTATCAAGCAAGCTGGTAAATTTTGCTTAACATAAATCACCACACCCCCTTTTTTTCCAGGGACAGGAGATACAAAATGAGATCCCAAGCGAGCATTAGCTAAATATTTTTGATCCTTAAGTAGAATATGAGTTTCCTGCAAACAAATAATGTCATTATTATGTTGCTTTAAATAATGAAAGATTTTCTTTCTCTTCTGGGGAAAGTTAAGACCGTTAACATTCCAGGTCAGAAACTTTGCCATCTCCCTCAACCAGGAGCCTGGAGAAGATTCCCTCAAGATCTGCTAGTGAAGAATGTGTTGCAGAGCTTTTAGGTCTTGCTCCTCCCACCGGCATCGAAACAATCTGATGATAAGATTCTTTAGCTTCTTTCTTCTGCTGTTCCTTTTCCTTACGTTTATGTGCTGCACGAGTCATTCTCTGTTCTTTAACCTCTGCTTGACGCATCCATTCCACCTGCCCAGCAGCCATCAAACCTAGTCCTTCAGACTGCTGTTCCACCTCTTTATCACTCAAAGCTCTCTGAGTCATGGATGAAGATGAGCCTGCTCCCAGGACCGTGTTATAAAATTCTTTAGCTTTAGCAACCGTATTAAGTCTATAACGTATCCCCGCATGGCTCAAAACAATACCCATCAGAATCTCCCATCTGAATGGCATCAATCTTGTTTTAAGTTCATTTGCTAAAAAAGCAAAATCTTTTCTGCTTCTTAAAATTTTGGATGGGATTTCCTTTAGGATAATGATATCTTGGGCAGCAATCTGAAATCTCTTATTATAAAAAGCTTGTAAAATCTGATTGCGCAGAGACTTCTTAGCAAAATAAATCACCACATCTCTTGGCAGATTCTTCTGTTTCGCAATCCAAGAGTTAACTCTGTAAATTTTTTCCACTTCTCCACGTAATTCATCTTTATCTATATTCAAGACAACAGCTAAATCATTGATCACCATCTCCATCAGATCTTGATTCATATCTTCTTTAAGACCCCTAATTCTCAAAGCATATTCCATCTGTCTATACTGAAACATAAGAATATCATCTTGTGAAGTTTCCACCTTTTTTTCCATATCTTGAAATTTATACTCAAGAAAATCTACTTTTTCTGCGACTTCTTCCACCCTGGAGTCCAGCTTCACGACCACAGAAGCCAATCCAGATAAAGCTGAGACTATATCTTCCCTCAAAATAGTATTATTCTGTACAAAAAGCTCCTTCATTTCTTTCTTCATTTCCTCCTTACTTTCAGACTTGCTCTGTTCCAGAAGTTGCTTCACTTCCTCCCTAAATTGAGACACAGCATTTCCCATTATATCTTTAATGTCTTGTGCAGACACTGATGGGGGAGGAGAAGGTGGAGATGTAGCCTTAGGTTGCTGCACCGGTGGTGTTACTTTAAGTTGTTGTTGAACAGTTGCAATAACAGGAGAAGAAATCACCTTAGAGACTATAGAGGCTGGTTGTCTCTTTGAAGCCATTTTTTTTAAAAAAATTAGTCTCTCTTTCTTTCTTCTTAAAAAGAAAAAAAAATGCTTAAATCTTTACAAATGAAAAAAGACCAAGAAAAGTGCAATAAAAATAAAAACTTCCAAAGCACTTTAAAAGAAAAAGAAACTTAAAGGAAAAAAAAGAGCAATGCTAAACATGCATTTCATTCAGTCCGTCTTTTCTTTCCGGAGATAGGAAAAAAAAACTTTCAAAGCGCCATTTTACTTTCACTCTCACTTTCCGCCCAAAAAAAATAAAAAAAAAAAAATCAGCATAGGCTAAGAAAAAAATTAAAAAAAAATAAATCTCTAACTCTAAGTAAAATCCTTTAAACAGTTCTGTCTGCTTTAAAAATCACTCACCAGAAAACTTTAAGTGCGGAGATGGTAGCGGCGTTTCACTTTGCTTCCGAAGAAACAAAGACAGCTGAGAGGCGGAGAAGGCAGGAACTCCGAGGGAGCGCTCCTTCTGCCCCCTCAAAGAAGAAATCCAGAGGAGGTTCGGAGGTTCTACCTCTATTCCTGCAGTCTCTACCCCTTCCCTTCGCCCGGGAAGGGGATTTCGAACTGCGGGCCAGCTGATGAACGCTGTGCTCCGCAGATCTGACACCGTCTCAGGAGGACGGCTACAAAGTAGCCGCCATCATCGTCGCTTAACCACCGGAAGTCCGATTTTTAAGGAGTATTGAAGTATAGTTCTAAATGAAGATTAATTTAACAAAATATTCTTTTTCACATTTATTGTATACCACAGCAAATGTTTTTAAAAATTGGTAGTTAACTTTATTATGTTGAAAGTATAACGTGGGTGATATTGATTTGTCTGCTTTTGCCCATTTTTGTTTAATTTCCATATGTTTATTAATATAGTATTAAATCTGAATTCCTGAGATGTATTCACTTTATGTGCTAGCAATCTCTCAATATTATGGAAATACAGCTCATGTAGTCAAGGTTTAATGGTCAGTGCAAAAATTAGACTGAATGAAGCATGTTGTTCTCTTTATTTTCTCCTTTTAGTTCCCCTCCCCCTTTTTCCAATCTCTTTTTCTTTCTCTTCTGTTCTTTCATTTATTAAAGCAAATATATCAGCAATGAATCAATTACTTCCTTGTTTGCTCCTCAGTTGCTACCTCAATCTTGTTCCACACTGGCAATTTTCAGGGCAACAGTACCTTCAAAAGAACATTTAGTTATAGAGAGACAGGTTTCCTTTGGATCAGATATAAATGGATAATAAGCTGTTTCAAATAACATTCCATAATTCACAAGATATGGTTTGTGAATGTGGAAATGTGATGTGTGTGTGTGTGTGTGTGTGTGTGTGTGTGTGTGTAAAATTAGAAGTTGAATTAAATCAAGATGCAGCAAACTACGTTTTGAAGTTATGAGCTGCTAATGAAAATGCTTGCCTTTCAGATACAGTACTGGACACTTTTCCTAACCAGCTAATGACTCCATTGGAATATCTGAGACTTTTGGATACAGTTGCCTTTATAGATACCAGTTATGCACCACTGATGAAGCCAGAAAGAAAAGTGGATGTCATTATACATTTGAATTATTCCTCAGGCTCACAAACAGCAGTGAGATGATTTACAATTAAGTGTTGTTTTTGTTTAATTAATTTGTGTTTTACATTTACAGAATTCTACAGAAAAGAACTCTGAGAATTCAGAGTTGTGCATGTCTATATATGTGGTTTTTTTTGGTCTGAGAATGCTAGCATTAAATGAGCTTAAAATAATGGTGCCATTCCCTCTGGGGACAAACATACACAACTGCATTTTCACTCATAATCAGGGCTTTTTTTGTCATAGAATGCCCAGAACGGAGTTCCGGCACTTTTTTGGGATGGAACCTTGTAGGATAGGCAAGGAGGGTTGTATGACATGTGTGAGTTCCGGCATCCCCCCTTTTTTTTTTTTTACAAAAAAAAAAAAAAGCACTGCTCATAATAAACACTATTATTATAGTACTGGCAACAAGAAAACCTTCTTTAAGAGTCTTGGAGATTATTTGTGGAGGTCACAAAACTGGGTAGAAGAGGATTTGCCCTTACCTCCATATCAGTGTCTTCTCTCCTCAGTCTGTCTGGCCAAAGATTTTGGTAAAGTGATTAACATTCCAGAGCTCAAATTAGCAGGGACGTTTACTGTTGATGTCAATAGCTAATCCCAGTGTGTAGTGCAAGTTACAAATATATAGGTTTTTTACAGGGGGAAGACCTCCAAGGTCCCTTCCAACTCTGTTATCCTATCCTATCCTATCCTATCCTATCCTATGCTATCTTATCCTTTCCTATCCCATCCCATGCCATCCCATGCCATCCCATGCCATCCCATGCCATTTCATTCCATTCCATTCCATTCTATTCTATTCTATTCTATTCTATTCTATTCTATTCTATTCTATTCTATTCTTTATTGATGGCAAATTTTAAGGGAGCAAAACACAAGGCATTGTCAAATCCAATGAAAAGATTAAAGTCTCTTGGGAAGCTATTATGGCTTGAAGGCACTGCATGGAGCACATGGAGTTGGGAAATTATAGGAAGTTGTACCAGTGCCACCCTATATTTAAGTATATCTTAAATGCAAGAAATCCTGAGACTCCATCTACCCACAGCCAGTACTGATCAGTTCTGATTACAAGATTCAGGTTATTCAAGAACAATAGTCTACTTCTGGGTAGATATCAAGCCTAAACATCTCAAGAAAAGAAACATTCTTCCATTTTTGCCTAAAGGGGCCAATGAAGTTCTCCTATGCATGACTTTGATGTATGAAAAGCAATCTGAACATTGTAAGGACCAAATTCAGAATCCAATCTAAATCAAGGCATAGATAATTTTCACAGACAGGCTTTAATGGTATGTGGAAATAATATAGACAAGACCCAGACATAGACAAGAGTCTGTTAATTACAATAACAGGATTAGCTTACAATAAAATAGAATTAGCTCCTCTAATCTTATTTCTTGTCTGGTCTATATTGTAAAGCTAATATCAATCTTGCAAGCCTTTAAAATACTTCTTTCCCCCTTGGAATGGGAAAAAGAGCCACTTTTTCTGAGTCACTTGATCTTCCCACATTCCTGCTGTAGGCTAATCTGCCTTTTAGCCAATTGTTCCCTCGGTTGTGTCTTGTTGCCATATCTCCCAAGGCCATCCACATATACCATTATACAGGCTCAGTGGATGTTCATTTACCCAGATACATTCTTTATGCACAGATAAGTTGAACTGCATGCCAAGAGAGATAATCCTTAACTAATAGATCCCTACAAAGTCTTCTGACAAGTGTAAGAAATCAGTAACCAAGGTTGTTCAAATAACAATCTCAACATACAACAGTCCTCAACATGCAACAGTTCATTTAGTGACTGTTCAAAGTTACAACAGCACTGAAAAAAGTGACTTATGACTATTTTTCACAGTTATGCCTTTGCAGCATCCCCGTCATCATGTGATCAAAATTCAGACAACTTGTCTGAACAGTTTGACAACTTGTTCATATTTATGACAGTTGCTCTGTCCTAAGGTCATGTGTTCACCTTTTATGACCTTCTGACAAACAAAGTCATTGGGAAGCCAGATTCACTTAACAAACAGGTCACTAACTTATCAACTGCAGTGATTCACTTAACAACTGTGGCAAGAAAGGTTGTAAAATGGGCAAAACTCACTTATCAACCTAAATTTGGGGCTCAATTGTGGTCTAAGTTGAGGACTACCTGTACAAGTTTATTCCATGGTATCTCTAAACAAGAATCTGTACTAATAATGGTCAAGACAAATTAGCGGTAGATAAGAGTCAATGGAATTTAAGGATGGCTGGACTTAGATGTATTGTGGGCACAAAGGGACTCCACACTGATGATGTGCTTGACTCCTCCCTTGGGCTCAACTTAGTCATCTCTGACCCCTTCCCTTGATTTCTTAGATAGAAATGAATTGGAGTAAAAAAAATCAAGAAATAAGCTGCCTCAATCAAGGATGAAATCTGACTATCATTACCGCAACTTATTATGCTTATTAGTTCTATTATTTGCTTTGTCTGTGATAATCTAGCCTTTAGATGAAGCTTCCAGATACTTTGCAAAGCAAGGGATTCCTTTCCCCAAAATAGATCTGAGTACGGAAAAGAATCTGAAGGAGTGCTATGTTTTTGAAGATGCTACAGATTCCAAAGCACCTACTGTGGTTTTTTTCCCACTAATAAATGATACCTTCAGGAAATACAAGGCACCAGGTAAGTTCTTTGTTTCCTTAACAGAACTAACCTTTTTTTCCACAGGTGAACATTCATCATTTGGTGAAATAAACCATCTGCTACACTTGTGCTATTATAAATCAATAAATTTGGAAGTTTATACAAGCCTATCATCATTACTCATAATCCTCCACCTGAGTTACCCTTCATTTTCTAAGTTTAGATAACTCTTATTTAAAAAATATCTTGATAGTTGTCCCAAAGATGCTTTTTCAAAAGGCAACTGGAAGATGTTTTGATTCTCATCCAAGAAGCTTCTTCAGTTCTAGTCAGTTGTACAGCCTTGCAGTAGTCAAGAAAATATTAAACTGTTTAAATTATATTAAGTCAGTGGTATATAGTCTGGAGTCCCAGGGACATATTTGAACCTACAATTCTGGGTTTGGTCCAAAGGAGCCCTTGGAAATTTGTCCCCAAATTGTACTGCTTAATATGACAATGGAGGGAAATTGTTAAAGACATTGGGAGAAATTACATTAAATTAAGGATTTGTCCTGTATTTTTCTCCTAGCTTTTTCTATTTCCTGAATGCAATACCTAGCACAACATTCAAAGACTGCCGCCTCCCCTCCCCTCCCCCCACAAAGTTAAGCTTTCTTATGTTAAATAGATCTAATATTATGGGCATTATCATGCCTTTGAAGTGCATGTCTTTCCTTCATCTCCAGCATTGATTGTGACTTGTTTTAGAGTCTTCAGCCTTTGCGTCATTAGTGTACTGCTCCATCCCACAACAAACAGGAAGTTATGAAGAATGGAAGTTCCTGTTTGTTTGTGGGATGAACTAGCACCCTAATGATGCAAAAGCTGAACTTAGGAAAATACATGCTTTGTAGCTCGACAGCTGAATGTCTACAGGATTCCTTCTCAGCAAAGGCCTCAATAATCCTGCCATTCTGCTATAATGGATGGATAATGGAGCCAACGTTATTCTATTCCAGTGGATATATCATCTCCTTGGTTCCCTAACTGTCACCAGTTTTCAGAAAGACTGAAAACATGAATCAGTGTTAAGGATATTTATATATTTTTGTCTCTTTAATGCCATGAGGAAAACAAGGCAGAGAGGAAGAGTACCAGAACACTCTCTCCCACATTGTGTTCTGGGTAGTTTAAGTTTTTTTCTGTTATCAAGTTTTTACTTATCTCAGATCTGTCTGTAAGATCCTTAAGAAGACCTTTCACTTCACATCCTAATTAATTTAATAGAATTATTCTAAGTAGATATAAATTGCATTATGTGTAAAAAAGGAAAGTCATTCAAGATCTATAACATCATAATAGAATGTTTACACACTCAGTTTATTAATGACAAAAGAAGTAGATAGAGAACATTACAGAAATTAAAATTATACGAACTAAGCCAGCATCCGATTGGGGAACTATCTAAGATTTCATATTTCTCATTCTGCTTTCTTAACCAAAGCAGAGCATCAATGTAATAAATACGTAATAGTGTAAAATTGCTACATAAGTCAATGGAATGGAAAACTTGTTGCCCTTGGATCATTTCAAAACTCAACTCAGCTATAACTCGTGAGTGTATTATTTTTGTGATTTATGATGGCTAATGTTGAAATATGGTGGAAGCTGTAATTCAGAAAGCCACAGGCTCCCCATCCCTGATGTAATCTAGCAGCAGAAGGTTTAGATCAGATCAACTCTTGTGATCGACAATCATAAAATGATATTGACTTGGTTCTGTAATAGGGATAGCACAGTGGTGGGATTCAAATATGTGAACAACCAGTTCTCTGTGTGGATGCCACTTCTGGAAGTCCATTCTGGGCCTGGGTAACAAAAAATTAGCTACCGGTTCTACCGAACTGGTGCGAACCGGCTGAATCCCACCACTGGGATAGTAGCACTAATAAAAAGATATAGACTTTTGTTGTGTAGATTTTGAGCAAATAATATATTTAGTGTTAAATGGTGTTTTGCAGGTATGAAACGTGGTCCCACTGAATTGAAGCAAGGTGAAGTTGATCTAACTAGTCCTCTTTCTCCATATGGAATACAAAACTTTCAATACACTGAGGAGAATTTTGATAAGTTAATAAACCTAACTACTTACAACATTCAGAACAACAAAAACTCAATTATTCAAGCTTTACAAAGAGCAATAGAGAGAAAAAAACATCAAACAAAATAGATATCTTTTCAAATACAACTGGAAGATTGCTGAACCAGCTATTGCAATTTATGTGGATTAATTTATCATCAATGGCTATGTCAGTTTACAATATATTAAGACCATAATACACTTTGATTATGACGTTATATTAGTAGATCTCAGGAGCATTTGATCTGTATAATAGCATCTGAATTACAAAAAGTTTTACGAGGCATATTCATTGAACAGTCATTTCTTGATGCTCGAGACGTTGAACAAAATGTGCCTTAAGTGATATGATTCACAATTGTATTCTTTGCTTCCTTCATGTATATATTTGACCCTTATTATTCTTGATATTATTATTTGGATGGTTATTGATGTGACTACAAGTTATTATATCTCTAATTTATTAGGTAATAAATATAATAAATATAATATGCATATTATGTATTTCTAATAGCCAATATTGTCTGACCAGTTTACAAATATTTTTTAAAAATCTATGAAAGATAAAAATAATATGATAACATTACTCTTTTTCCTCTGTTCTCAATAAATAAACTAAACAGAAAATATGTTGCAACTGGAAGCTATATTTTAAGAGGGAATTGGGCCCTTGGGCCTCCAAAGAGGTTGGCATCATCCAAGCAACATGAGCAAAAAAGGTTAGGGGATTAATATAACTACTTTATATCAGTGTAAAAATAAACTTTAAAAGTTGAATGGCAAGAGGAGCAAGAACTGCCAGTTCTTGGCAAAGAAGAAGAAAAGCGACCTCGTTTAATCTAAAATATTGGGATGGATAATTAAGGTATTGTGAAAGAAGAAAAGATTCAGGGTAGGAAAGCATCATTCTGGAAATGTCAAATGAATTCAAATTGTGAGAATTAGATAAAAGACACAAGGGAAAATCCTTTAGTGGGGTGGGATTGATTTGAGGCTGATTGGGTTTTTTAGTCTCTTTTCTGAAAAATAGTTTTTGTTACCATTGTCCTTTGATGATATTAGATTACTCCCAAACTCAGTTTGATCAAGTGTGCCAGATCGTTCACACATTTCCAAGGAAAACAGTATTTTCAATATTTATTTGGGGGTGGGTGGGAAGGGCAACATAAGGCTATATCACATGTGATAATTAAACGGCATTGTTACGTTTTCAAGGGGAAAAGTCACTATTTGGTTTCCGTTGTTTGTTCTTCCTTTCAAAATGCCATCCACTGCTTTCTTGACTGAAAATAGGGTGGATAATTTTGAGATGCCATATTTGCACAGCTCAGGTAATTTCACAGGAATTTGCCTTTATAAGCATGATATAATTGAACATCATGTGCTGTTACTATAGCGTATTTATTAATTTCTACTACTGTCTATAAAAGAGGAGGGAGCTCCAATTACTGTGTCTAAGTACGAGCTTTCATTTTTTAAGAGTTTTTGTTTGTAAAATACTTCTGGTTAAAATGGGAAATACCATAAGCAGTAATTAATTTACGTGTTTTGAATTTTGTCTAGTATCTCAAACCTCTCCCTTTGATAAATTGTTTTCACGTGGGTGCAGTCATTTCAATCTTTCACAATTTAGTCCAGTGTTGCAATATGAAATTAGAATATTATATATGACACCAAAGATGACAGGAAACAAACACAAATCATTATGAGTGCAAATACGGTAACTCTGTTAAAAATACAGTCTTATCAAATCCAATACCTTGTTTTGCAGAATGGTCAGTCAAGGCTTCTAGGAAACGTATGTACAGGGCTGGATGAAAATTGTCCACTCCTACTGTTATTTCTTAGTATCTGTTATTTATAGGCATATTACTTCTACCAATAAAAGAGAATATTTGTAGCTCAGAGTTGAAATGAGGGGTCCTCGCTGCTCTCTGAGTTTGTTTGTTTTCTTGCTGATGTTTCATTACACAAACTATGTGACCTCATCAGTGCCAGCCCTAGTCCAGTCCTGGTTCTGATGATGTTACCCAGTTTGGGTAATGAAACGTCTGCAAGAAAACAACCAAGCTCAGAGAGCACCCAGGACCTAACTTGACAGATTGAACGTAAGTCATTACAAGTAGTTCCTGACATGTTTTTTTCACACATTCCCTTTGAGGCCATCAATACAATCAGTGACACTGACTGGGAAGCTTGAAAACAGGCAAGATTTTAGGCACGTGCCTCAGTCCAAGACCCACCAATTTGTACACTTGTATGATGTTGTCAAAAGTAGAAAAAGGTTTGCAATGCTGTGTTTACGATCTTGCCTATTTTGACCCTCCCTTAAAGATACTATCATAATGTTATTACTATTTTATTTTATTTTTTAAGGAATTTGTATGTTGTCAACACTAAGAACCAATTTATGCCATGGCTTTTCTAAAGGTGCTGTGAAGAAGCATTTAAAATTACTCATATCAAACAAACCTGTTTTTCATCTGGGCAGTGACAACGTTTTAGTCACAAAACAGGTTGTTGGCTTTACTCTTTGTTCTGCAAAGCCCTGCATTTCCCCTTTTCACAGTTCATCTCGTGTCTTCCTACGTTTGCATGTGACCAAATGGAAACCAGGTGAGATAAGCTAGATAGTTCAGCAGGTTTGTTTAGAGATGACTTATCTTTTCATAGTGTAGCTTCCATTCATTTGATTTCATTGTCCCAGATCAGCTGTTAAATGACTTCAATAGTATAGTTATATCATTATATTACTTTGCAGCTGGCATACTACAGGTAGTCCTCAATGGAGTCTGCCCATTACCAGACTTCACCCTCTGGTCTTCCTGATCCAGTCATTAAATAACCCTGTGGGTCATTAAACAGAGCATGGGATGCTTCGAGCCTGGGGGGAGGCCCCGGGAGGCCTAGCAAAGATCCAGGTCTGCCTGCCCTGGACTTCCCAAGGCATCCCCTGCCCCCTGAAACTTCCCTGTGCTCTGTTTCCCACCCCTCAGGCTCCCCACAGCTCTTAAAACCTGCTCCCCCCAACAGGATTCCCACAGATGTTCTTCCCTTACACCAGGTTCCTGCAGAACTTGGGCCACTTACCTACCACCCATTGTCCATCACATACTTAAAGATCTCTGGAGCTCCTGGCTTCATGTTGGGGAAGGAGGGCATATCACTCTGACCTTCCCTGAGTCATTTAATTACCATTTCAGCACAATCACAACTCCTTGTGGACACACTGAAACAATGGCTGCTTCTGTGATATGGCCATGTGCCCCAGCAATGAAGTAATCCATTCTGCTTCTCTAATACTATCTGCGCAGTGCTGTGGAAAGCTCTGGGGACGAGGTCCAAGGCTTGCAGAGACTTGGTGGGGTGGGATAGGGAGGGAGATAGGCATAGGGACGCTGCAGCATTCCTGCAGTTGGTCATAAAGTGAATGACTGCAGGGGTGCTGCAGTGGCTGTAGCTTCGAAACTGGGTCATAAGTAGTGTATGGGCAGTCTGTTGTAACTTCAAACAGTTGCTAAGCAACTGATTGTAAGTTAAAAACTACCTGTATGGTCTTTAATGTTTTTATACTGAAGTTCTATAATACGTGTTATGTGAATCAAACAGAATGAATGCGTAACATTAAAAAAAATCGATTTCTCTCAAATTACACTTGACATCATAAAGCATTTTGTGCTATAAGCATCTCTTCAATCACAAGGGTATATATGGCATTGGGTGGGATACAAATGCAGAGGAGAGAAAGAACTAAACACACATAAGGAAATCAAAGAGTTATTCATAAATTTGATTTCCACAAATCTAATGACAAAAGCATAAATGCAAGATGTAATGGGGTTTATTTAGTTAATAAGGATCCTTTCAAAGTACCTACATATATTTCTCCATAATACAGAAAAGGAAGAAAAAAAAACAGACCAGGTTTCACAACCTCACTCCTCAAGGCAACAAGCTATTATTTAGCAGGTTTTCCTACTGAAGTAGGAGAAAATGGGCTGGGATCCCTATTTCTCTTCTGCAATTCAAATGGGCGGACCTAATGTTTAGTTTTAAGGTACTGTACCTTCATACTGATTGCTGCCGGCATAACTGGAAGAATGTATCAGCAGCACCAGCCAATTAAGTTGACTGATAAAGCAATACCCGCCCTGAGTGAGACCATAGCAGGACCACTCTCTCAGGTAAGGTACCTTTTCTTCTGGGAAAATGTAATCTGTGTTTTTGTTATTTATTTGTGCTGAGACTTTGGGTATTGGAAAAAAAAGATATTAGAAAATAAATGTGTATTTATTTTCTGCAGAAGGCTGCAGAAGGGCTAAGTACAGTAGACACCTTTTTTTCCCCTGATAACTAAACTGGTAAAGGATATTGATTTTCTTTCTTTCTGTTAGTCACTATTGTATCCCTACCGCCAGTATAGTTATAGCAACAAGGTTGTATGAGAAATAAGTTGCATACCAGATCATCAATTTGGGGAATCCACAATCAGGCAAGAGACGCTGCTGGAAGTTTGCCTAGTTCCATTATTTGGAGACTGTGATCACACAGCAGAAGAATGCAGTCTTCTGATATCTCTGAATTCATCCCTGTAAGATGATTAAATATGCCCTAGTGAAATGGGGAGCTGCCAACCTCAAAGGAAATTCAATGATCACAGAAGTGGCTGGGAAATTGTCATTTCATTTTTAATTTCTCTCCCATATAAGGAATTTGCTCAGATCTGACCAAGGTCAGTGTTTCTATGGTTACAATTAGTAGAAACCCAATGTCACCAAAACTCTGTTTAAAACAATCCAGTTGGGACAATAAAAAGTTCAGAGATGCAATTCTCAGAGAAGCCCTTTTGATGCCAGGAACCATCTCTCACACATTACAACTGACTGGGACTGGTTAATTTCACTTCAGTTCCAATGAATTCATTGACTTAAGCTAATTTTCTTTAGCCAGTGGAATGGCTTGCCTTCAGAGGTTGTGGGTGCTCCATCACTGGAAGCTTTTAAGAAGAGACTTGACAACCACTTATCTGGAATGGTATAGGGTATCCTGCCTGAGCAAGGAGTTGGACTAGAAGACCTCCAAGGTTCCTT